GCCATGGTATGTTCTCTCTCTCTGCTTGTGTCCTATTTTATTCTCTTGAGAGTGGTTTGTGTAGTTTCTCCTTGAAGAGTCCTTTATCCCTTGGTAAGTTGGATTCGCTAGATAGTTCTTTTTTCAAGGTTTTTAGTTTCTTTGCGCTGGTTACGTAGTTCCTCCTTTAGCTCTGAGAAGTTTGATCGACTGAAGCCTTCTTCTCTCAACTCGTCAAAGTCATTCTTCATGCAGCTTTGTTCCGTTGCTGGCAATGAGCTGCGTTCTTTTGGAGGGGGAGATGTGCTCTGATTTTTTGAATTTCCAGCTTTTCTGCACTGCTTTTTCCCCATCTTTATGGTTTTCTCTGCCTTTGGTCTTTGATGATGGTGATGTACTGATGGGGTTTTGGTGTGGGTGTCCTTTCTGTTTGTTAGTTTTCCTTCTAACAGTCAGGACTCTCAGCTGCAGGTCTGCTGGAGTTTGCTTGAGGTCCACTCCCGACCCTCTGTGCCTGGGTTTCAGCAGCAGAGGCTGCAGAAGATAGAATATTGCTGAACAACGAGTGTTGCTGTCTGATTATTGCTCTGGAAGTTTTGTCTCAGGGGTATACCCAGCCGTGTGATGTGTGAGGTGTCGGTCTGCACCTAGTGGGGGATGTCACCCAGTTAGGCTGCTCAGGGGTCAGGGACCCACTTGAGCAGGCAGTCTGTCCATTCTCAGATCTCAACCTCTGTGCTGGGAGAACCACTGCTGTCTTCAAAACTGTCAGACAGGGACATTTACCTCTGCCGAGGTTTCTGCTGCTTTTTGTTTAGCTATGCCCTGTCCCCAAGGGTGGAGTCTACAGAGGCAGGCAGGCCTCCTTGAGCTGTGGTGGGCTCCACCCAATTCGAGCTTCCCGGTGGCTTTGTTAACCTACTTAAGCCTCAGCAATGGCGGGCGCCCCTCCCCTAGCTTCGCTGCCACCTTGCAGTTAGATCTCAGACTGCTGTGCTAGCAATGAGGGAGGCTCCATGGGCTTGGGACCCTCCGGGCCAGGTGTGGGATATAATCTCCTAGTATGCCGTTTGCTAAGACCCTTGGTAAAGCGCAGTATTAGGGTGAGCGTTACCCGATTTTCCAGGTGTTGTGTGTCTCAATTTCCTTTGGCTAGGAAAAGGAATTTCCTTCCCTCTTGCGCTTCCCAGGTGAGGCGATGCCTCGCCCTGCTTCAGCTCTTGCTGGTTGGGCTGCACCCCAACCAGCAGATCAGCACCAACTGTCCGACCCGCCCCAGTGAGATAAACCCGGTACTTCAGTTGAAAATGCAGAAATCACCCATCTTCTGTGTCGCTCATGCTGGGAGTTGGAGGCTGGAGCTGTTTCTATTCGGCCATCTTGGGTGAGCCCCCTCGGTTTCTTTTCTTAAACTTCATGAACCAACCTCTACTAGCTTCCTACTTTTCTTCTGCAGTTTCCTCACCTCTCTCAGCATTCACAGATTTGAAGACAATTAGGGCCTTGCTCTGGTTTAGGGTTTGACTTCAGGGAATATTGTGGCTGGTTTGATCTTCTATCTAGACCACTCAAACTTTTGTCACATCATCAATAAGGCTGTTTTGCTCTCATCATTTATGTATTTACTGCAGTAGCACTTTTAATTTCATTCAGAAACCTTTTCTTTGCATTCAGAACTTAATTGACTGGTGCAGGAGGCCTGGCTTTTAGTCTATCTTGGCATTTGATATACCTTCCTCACTTAGTTTAATCATTTGTAGCTTTTGATTTAGAGTGAGAGATATGAAACTCTTCAATATATGAAACTCCTCCTTTCCCTTGAATGCCTAGAGGCCATTGTAGGATTATTAATTGGCCTATTTTCCATACAGTTGTATCTCAGGGAATAGAGAGGCCTAAGGAGAGGGAGAGAGACAGGAATGGCTATTGCTGGAGCAGTCAGAACACACACAGCATTTATTGCTTATGTTTGTCATCTTATATGGGCACGGTTCATGGCGGCCCCAAACGATTACAATTCTAATGTCGAAGATCACTGATCACAGATCATCATAACTGATATAATAATAATGAAAAAGTTTGACATATTGCAAGAATTAGCAAAATGTGTCATAGAGACACAAAGTGAGCACTCGCTGTTGGAAAAATGGTGCTGACAGACCTACCAGATTCACAGTTGCTGTAAATCCTTATTTTGTAAAGAAAAAAACCCCACAATATCTGCAAAGTACAATAATGCAGAGTGCACTAAAACGAAGTATGTTGGTATAAAAAAAGATTGTGATTAATAATTCAGTTGTAGGGAGTGGAATATCAAAAGATTTCGACTGCTACTACATTTCATTCTGATTTTAAGAGTTGTTACTTTAGCCTCATTACAAATTATAGGTGCTCTGTAAATGTTCTGTTGTGTATCTTTAATAATTCCTTTCTCTGCTTCTTTTCTAGGTATCACACCTGTGTATCATAATATGTTTGCTTTAATGAGTGAAACAGAAAGGATCTGGTATCCACCCAACCATGTCTTCCATATAGATGAGTCAACCAGGCATAATGTACTCTACAGAATAAGGTACTTTCTTCAGTAAAGTAACTTACTTAGTGCTGAAAGGCAAAATGGGAGAAATTATCAAATATTTTTAAATTGCAAGGTAGTTAATATCAGAGACCTGAACCAATTAGTTAGCACTCATTTTAAGATTTCATTTAAGATTCTGTTTCTCCATCAGAGAAACTGTTCATACATGTTGTTTAAGTAGAATAGTCTGAGAATAAAGCTGTTTTGGTGGGATGCCACTTAACTCCTTATGATTATAATTAAATAAGTAAAAAAAACCAGAATGGGCTTTATTAACAAAATCCTAAATGTTTGGGATATTGCTGGTTTGTGCAATGTTTTGTGCAATAAAATGCAATTTCACATCTTATCTTTATAAAGAACTTTTTAAAAAGTTGTTGTGAAGAAAAGAGACTTTTCCCAGTGTGTATTTGCAGCTTCAAATTGTAAGTTAATTTATATAATTTATGGTAATGTGTAATGCCTATTTAGAGAAATCTAGTAGTATTTTTTTACTCGAAAGGATGAAACAAAGATGTTTGATTTGTGTCTCATAAATACCTGTGATTTTTCTAAGCATTTACATATATATATATACACACACACATAAAATTCATCATAACTTAAGGAGGTATTAAGATTTCCACATTAAAGATAAAGAATTTAGAGCATTGAGAAACAATATTACTCAAATTTATTCATGGTCACACAGCTAGGAATTGGGAGTCAGGTTCAAATCCAAGCCTAGTTTGCTTTATAAGCTTGCCTCTTAACCACCTCATGTATACTTCATTAAAGAGATAATGTATATATAGTATTTATTATTGTGCCTATCACTTCGTGCTCTCTCAGTAAATTTTAGTATTGTTTTGCTTCTTTCCCTTCCTCTATTCTATATACAAATATGCAATTGGATGTGTTTGCATTTACTGATATCTAATGTATAATTTGCACTGAGTTCAAAAAATTATTTTTGAAATAATTATTGAAAAGATAGTTGGTGAAAAAATCAATAAATGTTCAAATAAATAATAGATGTACAAAAATCAATAGCATTATTATATGCAAGCAACTACTTATATAATAGATAAAGAAAATCCTATTCAATATAGTTACAAAAACCCTTAACTAACCAGGAATGGTTTTAATAAGAGAAAACACAAGACGGTATAGGAAAATTAGAAACTTATTTGAAGAATATGAAGAATTAGGACATAATACTGGAATGGGCAGATGGAATATTACAAAGATCAATTTCTCTTACACTATGTGCTTAGCTCTAAGCCAATTAAAATCCTAAAAAAGGCATTTTAGGGAATTGGACACATTACTATGTTAATTTAGAATTATTAAATAAGATAGCCATGAGAAAGAAGACTTATCTGGGAATTGTAAAATATTTTGTCCCAGGAGATATTTTCACATTATATGAAACTACAAAATGGTATCTATTATTTTATTTTTTTTATTTTTTATTTTTTTGAGATGGAGTCTTGCTCTGCCGCCCAGGCTGGAGTGCAATGGCCGGATCTCAGCTCACTGCAAGCTCCGCCTCCCGGGTTCACGCCATTCTCCTGCCTCAGCCTCCCGAGTAGTTGGGACTACAGGCGCCCGCCACCGCGCCTGGCTAGTTTTTTGTATTTTTTAGTAGAGACGGGGTTTCACTGTGTTAGCCAGGATGGTCTCGATCTCCTGACCTCGTGATCCACCCGTCTCGGCCTCCCAAAGTGCTGGGATTACAGGCTTGAGCCACCGCGCCCGGCCTGGTATCTATTATTAAAGCCACATAATTAAATTCAGAATCATAACCTAAATAATGAGAATGTTGGGGCCAGTATATCTTGAAAGTACTCCTTCATACATATAGAAACATATGAAGAAATCTTTTCACGTTAATGTGGAAGGGAGAGATTAATCAATAAATGGGGATGGGATAGTTGATTAGCTGTTTGAATAAAATTTTAGCTTCTTTCTTTATAATGTATATCAGATAAATTATAGATTGATTAAAGATCAGATTGATATGTAAATAGAAATGTAAAGAAAATCAAACTATAAAAGTCTGAATTGGAACTGAATTCAGGTCCTTGGGAAAATAACATTTAAGCTGCAAAACAATAGAAGAAATCTTATGGGAATGATTGCAATTGTCGACTATAAAAATTTTCAGATGTCTGAAGGTTTCCTCTTAAAATGAAAAGGCAAACTGTAAAGATTGTTTCAACAAATCAGATAAAAGGTTAGTATTCTTATAAGTATAAAATTAAAAACACAGTATCCATTAAACAATTACTTAATGTACATGAAGAAATAGTGTCACTAGTTATGAGAATAATGCACATAGTTACAACTATTTGTTGGTCTCTTAACTAGTGATGCTGAGAATTTTTTGAAAATGCCATTAATGATTTGTTCTTCTTTTGTTAAATATTTCTTCATGTACGTTAAGTAATTGTTTAATAGATAGTGTTTTTAATGCCAACAAATTAGAGGATCAAGATGAAATGGACAAATTCCTAGAAAGACACAAGTTACGGGAACTGCTAAAAGAAAGAACAGAAATTTTGAATAGGTCTATGACAAGTAAAGATATCAAATTAGTAATTTTTATAAAAGCCCAGGCCCAAGTGGCTTCACTTGTGAATTCTGTCACACATTAAAAGAATTATTACCAGTTATTCACAAAAAATAGCAAAGGAAGGAGGATTTCCCAACTATTTCTGTGAGTTCAGTGTTACCCTGATAACAAATTCAGACGAAGATGTCTAGAAGAAAAAACTACAGACCAATGTTGTAGGTAGAAAATCAACAAAATACTCGCAAATTGAATCCAGCAATACAGCTTGAATATGTCTTATTTGAAATGCTTGCGACCAGAAATGTTTTGGATTTTGGATTTTTTTTCAGATTTTCAGAATATTTGCAGAGTATACACTGGTTGAACACACCTAATTTAAAAATCTAAAGTCTGAAATGCTCTAATGAATATTTCTTTTGCACATCAGGTTAGTGCTCTAAAGGTTTTGGATTTTGGAGCATTTCAGGTTTCAGATTTTCAGATTAGGAATGCTCAGTGTGTTTACAAAAATATTAAATACCATGACCAGGTGGGATTTATCCCAGGAAATACAAGGTTAGTGCAACTTCCAAAAATCAATCAGTGTAATATACCACATTAATAGAATAAATGACCAGAACCACATGATCATCCCAATAGACACAGAAAAAGTATTTGATAAAATCCAGCATCCCATCATTATAAAAAATCTCAACACAATAGGAATGGCAAGGAACTTCCTCAATTTGTTCAAGGGCATCTATAAAAAAATCCAAAAGTAATGGCGTACTTAATGGTGAAAGACTGAATGCCTTCTCTCTATGATCAGGAATGAGATGAGGATAGCTACTCTTACCACTTTGATTTAACACTATACTGTAGATTCAGGGTAGGGAAATAAGGCAAGAAAAAGAAAGAAAAGGCATTTATATTGGAAAATAAGAAGTAAAACTATAGTCATCCTGCTGTATCCATGGGTTTCACATCCATGGATTAAACCAACTGCAGATTGAAAATATATGGAAAAAAAGTTGTGCTTGTACTGAACATGTACAGACTTTTTCTTGTCATTATTCCTTAAAGAATACAGTATAACAATTATTTATATAACATTTACATTGTATTAGATATTATAAGTAGTCTAGAGATTTTAAAGTATACTGAAGTATGTGCACAGGTTGTATGCAAATAGTATATCAGGAACATGAGTATTTGCAGATTTTGGTATGTGTGGGAAGTTCTGGAACTAGTACTGCATAGATACCAAAGGATGATTGTGTAGTCACAGATTACATGACCTTGCATATTAAAAATCCCAAGGAATTAATAAAAAACTATTAGAACTAATAAATGAGCTCAGGTCAGTTGCAGAATAGAAGATCAATATATAAAAATCAGTTGTATTTCTATACACAGACGAACAATGCAAAAATGAAATTTAAAAAATTTCATTAACAATAGCATAACACATTTTTAGGAATAAACTTAACAAAAAGTGTAAAATGTATACACTGAGAAATATAAAACATTATTGAACGAAATTAAGGAAACACCTAAATAAATGGAAAGATATAGAGGACTTCATATTTTTAATATGGCAATACTCCTTAATTGATCTGTATGTTCAGTGCAATTCCTACTGAAATCCTAGCTCTCTTTATTGCAGAAATTGACAAGTTAATCATAAATTTATATAAAAGCAAAGGGACTTAGCATAGCTAAAACAGTCTTGAAAAAGAACAAAGTTTGAAGACTTTACTTCCTAATTTCAAAATTTATTACAAAACTACAGTAATCAAGACAATGTAGTACTAACTTAAGGATGAATATACAGATTAATGGAAAGGAATTGACAGTCTCAATATAATTTCTCACATTGATGGTAACTGATTTTTGATCAGGGTGCCAAGACAATTCATGGGCAAAGAATAGTCTTTTTAAATAATAGTGCTGGGACAACTGGATATCCACATGTAAAATAATGAAGTAAGACAACTACTTCACACTATATACAAAAAAAAAAAAAAAAGCTTAAAGTGGATCATAGGCCTATATATAAGAGCTAAACTTATTAAAACTCCAAGAAGAAACACAAGTCTTTGTGTACTTAGATTAGGCAGTGGTTTCTTAGATGTGACACCAAAAGCTCAAGTGACAAGAAAAATAGTTAAGTTAGACTTTATCAAAGTTAAAAACATTTGTGCGTCAAAGAACACTATCAAAAATGTGAAAAGACAACCCACAAAATGGAAGAAAATGTTTGGGAATCATACATTCTGATAACTGTCTTATCTCCAGAATATAAAAGAATTCTTACAGCTCAACAATACAACTTAATCTAAAAAGTAGGCAAGGGACTTGAATAGACATTTTTCCAAATAAGACATATAAATGGCCAATAAGCATGTAAAAAGATGCCCAACAGGCGGGCCCCAGAGCGGGCTCAGGGGAGTGTTGCATGCCAGGCGCCTCCCGCCCGGAACATACGGAGGCTGGCCCAGGCGGCACAGGAGCTGGAGCAGGGCCTGAGTGGGCGTCCGAGCCCCAGCGGAAGTGGGAGAAGGGCTGGAGCGGGGGTCCGCGCCGCGCTGCTGAAGCCTGGCCGGCCGCCCAGACACTGCCTGCGGCCCGGCCATGGCAGAGCCAAGGAAAGGATCTCTATACAAACAAATACGTGGCTGTCAAATTGGAGCTGATGAAGTCCCGGGCCCCACAGCTGCACCTGGGGTACTGGTTCTACAAGCGGCTCAGCGCCACTGAGGGCGCCCCTCAGGTCTACTACCTACTACTTCGGCCTGTGCTGGAAGTACAATGCTATGGTGCTGGAGCTGCTGGGGCCCAGCCTGAAGGACCTGTTCAACCTTCACGCTGAAGACGGTGCTCCCGATCGCCATCCAGCTGATCGCACGCATGGAGTATGTGCACACCAAGAGCCTCATTTACCAGGACGTGAAGTCCGAGAACTTCGTGGTGTGGCGCCCGGGGACCAAGCGGCAGCTCGCCATCCACATTATCAACTTCGGGCTGGCCAAGGGGTACATTGGCCTTGAGACCAAGAAGCACATCCCGTACCGTGAGCACAAGAGCTTGACAGGCAGGGCGCGCTACATGAACATCAACATGCAGCTGGGCAAGGAGCAGAGCCACTGCAGTGACCTGGAGGTGCTGGGCCACATGTTCATGTACTTCCTGTGCTGCAGCCTCCCCTGGCAGGGGCTCAAGGCCGACACGATCATGAACGGTACAGAATATCGGGAACACCAAGCGCACCACGCCCATCGAAGTGCTCTGCTAGAACTTTCCAGAGGAGATGGCCACATACCTGCACTACGTGCAGCGCCTGGACTTCGAGAAACCCGACTGTGACTACCTGTGGACCTCTCCACCGACCTCTTTGACCGAAGCGGCTTCGTGTTCGACTTTGAGTACCACTGGCCCAGGAAGCCCTTGGCGACCCCCATCGGCACTGTCCACACCAACCAACCCTCCCAGCCTCAGCTTTGGGACAAAGATCAGCCACACAGCAAAAACCAGGTGCTGACCTCCACCAATGGGGAGCTGAATGTGGACGACCCCATGGCCGGCCAGTCCCGCACCTATCACGGCGCCTGCAGAAATGCAGGTGGGCGATGAAACCAAATGCTGCTGTTTCTTCCCCTTGAATCTTCTCCGTGCAGCCCCTTGGGGCGTGAGCTTGTGTGAGGCCCTTGGGGACCACCCACAGCAGCCCAGGGCCAGACTCTGGCTGGAAGCCGGGACGCAGACTTAAGGGCCTGCGCCTGTCTCGGCCGGTGGCCCCATCCCGTAGACGAGGGGTCACTTCCTTCACATAAAACTGGCCAAAATTTCTATACCTGTGTCTAGTCCGCCCCTCCAAGAGCATTAACTATTTAAAACAAGGAAAAAAGTTGGGGGGGAAGACCCCTTCTACCCCCAACCCTGCCCCTCCATTTCTTTGCTGAAGTGAGTAGTGCGATCCTGGAGGCCCTCAGGGCTGAGGCCTGGCTCTGGCCCCGGCCCCGGCCCCAGCCCCAGCCCCAGCCCCGCCATCCGCCCCCGTTAGCTTCATAAAGTCTAGCTTCTCTCCCTCGATCCAAAGGCCGTTTTCTGGAGGGGAGGGCAGGCCTGGCCTGGAGTGGTGCTGTGGGGCCATCTTGCCCAGGCCCACCTGGGAGGTACACAGGCATTGCTGCCAGGGGTGAGGCTGTGCCCCAGGCTTCCCCAAAACTAAAGGGGAAGGGAGGGGTGGGGCTGCGGCTGAAACCAGCTCCGCACCCAAAATGCTGCACCAAAGCTCAGGCGCCGCAGTCACGGCCACTGCAGCCTTTCCCAGCCTCGTCCCGGCGAGGGGCAGGTGGGCCCTGCTAGGAGGGTGCTTCTCGAGGCACCTGTTCCCGGAGGCTGTGCTCCGACCCTCAGAACCTGAGGCGGGTGGGCCGGCTGGCGTCGCCCTGCTCGGCCCCTGGGCTCTGCTGCATGGGGGCGCGCGGGCAGGGGGCTTCCTGTCTCTGTGCTCTGCCACCCGGCAAGCAGCCGCAGACAAAATGCCTTAAAGCCCCCGGCTCAGCCCCGTAGGTGTATGTGCAGGGGCCTGGGGGCGGCTCTGGACTGGCTGGCGGTCCCCCAGCGGGTCAGCTTGAGGCCGTGCCCAGGGCGGTGGCCGTGAATCTGGTTTTTGCTTTACCAAGTGTACAGAAATGGCATTTACGTTTCTCTGATGCTCTTTTGAAGCCATACAACTTAGGGGCTTTTTAAAAAAAAAAGAAAAGAAAAATGAACCCCCCCCCCCAAAAAAGATGCCCAACATCATTGGTCATTAGAGAAAAGCCAATCAAAACCACAATGGGATAATCATAGATCTACAAGGATGGCAAAAATCAGAAAGACAAAAATAACAAGTGTTAGAGGATTTGGACTAGTTTGGAAGCCATATATTGCTGTTGGGAATGTAAAGTGGTGCTGCTACTTTGGAAAACAGTTTGGCCATTCCTCAAAAGGATAAACACAGAGTTACCATATGACCCAGCAATTCTACTTCTAGATATATATGCAATAGAAATGAAAACTTATATCCACAAAAACTTGTACATGACTCTTCATACCAGCATTATTCACAATAGCAAAATAATAGAAACAGTCCCAAATGTCTGTCAGGCAATGAATGGATACGGAAAAAGTGGTATATTCATACAATGAAATATTAATTTGGCAATAAAAGGGAATCAAGTAATGATACATGCTCTAATGTGGATGAACCCTGAAAACATTATGCTGAGTGAAAGAAGGTAGACAGGCCACATGTTCTAAAATTAGAGTGTGGTGATATTTGTATAATGCTATGAATAAACTAAAAACATTGAATTTTACACTTTAAGTGGGTGGACTTTATGGCATGTGAATTATATCTCAATAAAGGTGTTACTAAAAGACTCAATATAGAGTATTCTTTGTTTCTTTGAAGGACAAGTTTTTAACTTCTATTTCTCCAAAGAAGCAATTATTTGTTTTTATGCCAAATTAGCATTTTCAGATTCTCTACTGGTGTTACTGGATTAAATTATGTTTTTACTTTTTGTTAAGGTTTTATTTCTACATTTTTTGTTTCTTATTGCTTCTACATTTTGTGCACTGAAGGAGGTTGTATATTGATTTTACACTTACATTTCTTGTACTTTCTGCCTATATTAGTGTTATCCACATATCCTTTTGTCTCGAATTTATATTTAATACTGTTAGCTGTGTTTTCTAAGTATGGGATAATACCTTTCAGTATGCTGTAGGTGACTATATATAGATAGTATGTTTGTATATGAACTGTTTGGAAGCTGACCAAATGTTTTTATTATCTTGTAGATTTTACTTTCCTCGTTGGTATTGCAGCGGCAGCAACAGAGCCTATCGTCATGGAATATCTCGAGGTGCTGAAGCTCCTCTTCTTGATGACTTTGTCATGTCTTACCTCTTTGCTCAGGTATGATTATACTATCTTACTTGTACATGTATTAAATGATAAATATTTTGCTGTTTAGTAAGTCACTTAATCAGGAAAAACTTCACATATGGGAAAATTGCAGTTCTGTCTTGCACAGCAGGTGCAGAGAAGTAACAAAATTGAGTCTTTTTATCACTAGTTTTTAATCCCATGGTTTATGGATAATAGAATCTATTTTATAAAGTTTTTTTTGGATTGATCCTTTTGAATTTTTTTTTTTTTTTTTTTTTTAGGACTTTAGATCATTTTAAGGATTTCACAAGGTATAGACTGAGGTTTATTTACAGAATGATTCATATAGGCATATGTGGCTAAAATATTAGTAACATTTCTTTAGGGTTTTAAAAAAATTTTGGATAATTTCAGGCTTACACAATGGACAATGAACTGTAGAGGAAGTAGGCTACATAAAAAATAAGCTATGATAGTTTGTGTAGCTGTTTATAGGAAGGTGACTGGATGTTGATACTTAGTCTAAGAGCTATATTCAAGTTATTTGTTCACTAATACAGTTATGTCAAATTTTGGTATTGTGTTGGTATTTCATAATGCTTTCTTCTCTAGTACCTTGATTTAAACAGTAATTGAAATATTTTGTCATTAAATAACTTGTTTTTATGTGCTGCTAGACTAGTATGAATAGAAACTAAAGGAAGAAAATATATTAGTGCTCTTGGGTAGAAATATGCACTTGGTATCCCCAAGGTATCAGGAGTTCTAAATCCGATTTGCTAATATTGTAGGACATAAGCCCACAAATCCTCATGGCTCGCATTTCCGAGAAGAAGCCTAGTAAGGCTAGTTCAGTTTATGAACAACAAAAGGAAAAATATTTCTCTATTGGGGTATGAGACCAACAAACTTTATTTTTATTTTGTTAAGAAATATATAATAAAAATGACCATTTTAAGTGTGCAGTTCAGTTGTGTTAAATACAAACACATTGTTGTACAACCATCACCACCATCCATCTCCAGAACATTTTTCATATTCCCAAATGGAAATTTCATACCCATTAAATAATAACTCTCTATTTCCCACTCCCAATGGCCTTTCGCAGTCACTATTCTACTTTTGACTATAAATCTGCCTTTTCTAGGTACCTCATACAAATGGAATTATATAGCATTTGTCCTTTTTTGACTGGCTTATTTCACTTAGCATAATGTCTGCTAGGTTCATCCATGTTGTAGCATGTGCCAGAATTTCTTTCCTTTTTAAGGCTGAACAATATTTCATTGCATATGTGTACTTATTCATCTGTTGATGGATACGTGGGTTGCTGCTGTGAACATGGGTAAACAAATATTTCCTTGAGTTCATTTTCAGTTCTTTTGGATACATACCCAGAAGTGGAATTGCTGGATCATATGGTAAATTTATAATTTTTTTGAGGAACTGCTACATTGTCTTCTGTAGTGGCTATACTATTTTTCAGTCTTAGCAGCAGTGCACAAGTGTTCCAATTTCTTAACATCCTCAACAATGCTTTGCTTTGTTTGATAATAGCCACCCCTATGGGTATGAGGTGGTATCATTGTGATTTTGATGCATTACTTCTCTAACAACTAGTGATCATGAGCATCTTTTCATATGCTTGTTGGCCATCTGTTTGTCTTCTTTGCAGAGATGTCTCTTGTTGGCCATTTGTTTGTCTTCTTTGCAGAGATGTCTATTCAAGTCCTTGGTCCATTTTTAAATCAGGTTGGTTGTTTGTTGTTGTTGTATTGTAGAAATTATTATTCTGGATCTTAACTCCTTATAAGATACATGATTTGTACATAGTTTTTCCCATTCTCTAGGTTGTCTTTTCATTCTGTTACTTGTCTTTTGGTGGACAAAAGTTTTAAATTTGGCTGTATTCTAATTTATCTATTCTTTTTTGTTTCTTATGTTTTTGGTGTCGTATCCAAGAAATCATTGCCAAATACAATGTTATGAAGCTTTCTTTCTGTTTTCTTGCAAGAGTTTTATCGTTTTAGCTCTTACATTTAGGCCTTGGGTCCATTTTGAGTTAATTTTTGTCTATCGTGTAAGGTAAGGGTCCAACTTCTTTTGCTTGTGAATATCCAGTCTTCCTAGCACCATTTGTTGAAAGACTGTCTTTTCTCCATTGAATGGTCTTGACACCTTTGTTGAAAATCATTTGACCACCAACTTACTTTTTTATACAGCTCCTTTATCTTTATAGCCATTATAAAAAGAGAGGGGGATGGAGAGAGGCTTCTGAGAATAGCCTTTTGAAAATAGGATGTGATGAAGTTACAACTTTCTGTTGCTTTTACGGGTATATTATTCACCTGTCCTGCAGAGCTAGTTTATTTTGGGGGCAGGCTAGTTAAGTCCCATTTATAAGCCAAGTTTTCCCAAACTCTTCATTCAGCTACTTTAGCCTAACATTAATACTGCAATGTAAATTTATTAAGCTCAAATTTTGTCTGCTACTCAGATGAGAAGGTTTTCTTTCTTATTTTTTTTGTAGAGATGGAGGTCTTTGATGCCCAGGCTGGCAGGATCATAGCTCACTGCAGCCTTGAATTCCTGGGCTCAAGTGATTGTCTTGCTTTAGCCTCACAGCCTCCCGAGTAGCTAGATACAGGTGTGTGCCACTATGCCTGGCTAATTTTTTTAGTTTTGTTTTTGTAGAGATGGGGTCTCGCTCTATTGTCCAGGCTGGTTTTAAACTCCTGGCTTCAAATGATCCTCCTACCTCAGCCTCCCAAAGTGCTGGGATTACAGGTGTGAGCCACCACACCTGGCCTGAAATTTTCAGTAGTTTTAATTAAATGAAAATTTTGATGGTACATACTATAATATTTAAGGAATAGTATTATGTTTTGGCATTTGAGACTCTTCCATTTGTAACTTTTCTCTAGTGAATAGTTGATTATGTTTTTAGTATTGCTATCACTAATTTTTCACATATTTGTTGTCTTTTGGTCATGAGTTCCACAGAATATCCACATGAGCAGAATTTGTTATCTACCAGTTCTTTTCTTTCTTTTTTTTGAGACAGAGTATCGGGAGAACGTGCTCCCGATGGTTACATGGGTTCTTTTCTATTTCCTAGGTGTCTTGGCTGGTTTGAGAAATAAAGGGAAAGAGTATAAGAGAGAGAAATTTAAAGCTTGGTGTCCGGGGGAGACATCACATGTCGGCAGGATCCGTGATGTTCCCAGAGCCGTAAAACCAGCAAATTTTTATTAGCGATTTTCAAAAGGGGAGGGAGTGCACAAATAGGGTGTGGGTCACAGAGATCACATACTTTACAAGGTAATAAAATATCACAAAGAAAGTGGAGGCAGGGTGAGATCACAGGACCACAGGATGGGGCGAAATTAAAATTGCTAATGAAGTTTCGGGCACACATTTGTCATTGAGAACATCTTACCAGGAAACAGGGTTTGAGAGCAGACAACCTGTCTGACCAAAATTTATTAGGCGGGAATTTTCCTCGTCCTAATAAGCCTGGGAGCGCTACAGGAGACCGAGGCTTTTTTCATCCCTTCAGCTTGGACCATAAAAGACGGCACACCTTAAGGGGGCCGTCTACAAACCTACCCTCAGGGCACATTCTCTTTCTCAGGGATGTTCCTTGCAGAGAAAAAGAATTCAGTGATATTTCTCCTATTTGCTTTTGAAAGAGGAGAAATATGGCTCTGTTCCGTCCTGCTCACTTGCGGCCAGAAGTCTTATGTCTGGTGTTCCCTGAGCATTGCTGTTATCCTGTTCTTTTTTCAAGATGCCCAGATTTCATATTGTTCAAACACACATACTCTACAAACAATTTGTGCAGTTGACGCAATCATCACAGGGTCCTGAGGTAACATATATCCTCCTCAGATTATGAAGATGACAGGATTAAGACATTAAAGTAAAGACAGGCATAGGAAATCACAAGGGTATTGACTGGGGAAGTGATAAGTGTCCATGAAATCTTCACAATTTATGTTCAGAGATTAGAGTAAAGACAGGCATAAGAAATTATAAAAGTATTAATTTGAGGAACTAATAAATGTCTATGAAATCTTCACAATTTATGTTCTTCTGCCACAGCTTCAGCTGGTCCCTCCGTTTGGGGTCTCTGACTTCCCGCAACAAGAGAGTCTCCCACTGTTGCCCGGGCTGGAGGGCAGTAGCGTGATCTCGGCTCACTGCAACCTCTGCCTCCTGGGTTCAAGTGATTCTCCTGACTCAGCCTCCCTAGTAGCTGGGATTACAGGTGCCCGCCACTACACCCAGCTAATTTTTTGTATTTTTAGTAGAGACGGGGTTTCACTATGTTGGCCAGGCTGGTCTCGAACTCCTGACCTTGTCATCTGCCCACCTTGGCTTCCCAAAGTGCTGAGATTACAGGCGTGAGCCGCCATGTCCAGACTCTCTACTAGTTCTATATGGAACCAAGGCAAGCTATTAAAAAGAATCTACCAAGTCATTGATCATCTTCTACTTAAACAGTATAACTTACTTGCCTGTTCTCAAAAGTGTGGTGAAATAAGTGTTTAAAACTGAGCAAAAATCTATCTCCTACCCTGAATTAATTTTGTATTAGCAACATTTAGGCCTTTGTTTTGGTTAATACTGATTATATGATGGTGTGCTTCTTAATAGTTTATTTTCTTATATGAAAATATCTTCTATATTTTATTAATAAAAAAGCAAATATACTTTTGAATATATGTTTCTTTTAATAAAATTAGTTTAAAAAGGTTCCAGTAAAGCTTTAAGTTCATGAGACAAGTTATCAACATCAAAAGAAGGGAAATACAGATGTAGAATATAGAAGGACCTATATTTCTCTTGTCCAGTTTAAAACCTTGATTCACATTGTTATTTTAGGTGATACGGCTCTTACCTTTTTTCTACAAAGAAAATTGGTATTATGTTTAGAATATTTGTACTTTTGCTTTCTTTTTCTTTCTCCCATTACATGTTCAGTCTGATTTATCTGTATTCCTAAATCCTTCAGGTCAAAATCTTAGAACCTCTGTGTTTCTCTCTTCTTCATTCTTTATACAATATATAGTTAATAAAGTATCAGCCTTTTTCAGAATCTTTTAGTATCTTATGTTTCCTGGATCAGATCCTTATTATTTCATATCTGAGCCATACACCAGCCTCTTAAAGAGCCTCTCTGCATACACTTTATTTTCTTCAAGCACTTCTATCATTGCTACTACTCTACCAATGGAAGAGACATGATGAAAATAGATCTCCATAGTTTCTAGGATTAGGTCATTCAAGGGCACCTGCAGTCTGACCCCAACTTACTTTTCTAGGTTTTAATCCACATTATTTCTTCACATAAACTTCAGTCCCTAATCAAATTAGTTTATGCATCTGAACATACCTTGTGCTTTTTTGTGTGTCTTGTTCCTTCTATTTCTTTACCCTGTTTTGTGTCCATCATACATTTCTTTATTTTTAAACACACTGTGAAGTTTCAAATCTTCCATGAAACCCTCCTTGATTACTCCAACTGAATATAATCTTAACCGTCTCCAAGTTCCTGAAGGAGCTTTTGTGTGGTGCTTCCTATATCATGTCTGGCATTATAATTATTTGCTTCCGTTTAGCTTCTAAGCTAAATTTTAGTCCCCTTGATGACTGAGACCACATCTTATACAGTCATGTGTCACTTACTTATGGGGATATATTCAGAGAAATAAGTCATTAGGCAGTTTTATTATTCTGTGATTATCATGTATTGTACTTATACAAACCTATATGGTATAGCCTAGTATATGCCTAGTCTATATGGTATAGCCTATTATTGCTCTAGGCTACAAACCTATATAGCATGTTGCTATACTGAATATTGTAGGGAATTTTAACACAATGGTAAGTATTTGTGTAGTTAAACATATATAAACATAAAAAAGGTACAGTAAAAATGCAGAATTACAATCTTATGGAACCATCATTATATATGTGGTCTGCCATTGACTAAAACATTGTTATGGGGCACATGGCTATTTCTTTGTATCCAACACCATTTGTAGTATGATGCTTCCAACATAATTGGAGTTCAGTATATATTTAATTCAGTAATATCTATTTTAATTTAGGTAATTTTTATGTAGAACATATAAATTGAAGATATATGCAATGAAATAGGCCAATGTTGTATGTACTTTGTAATTGGGAACCCAGTGTAAATCAGTTTTCATTTGCAAATGAACTTTTATTAAAATTGTATTGCAAAATGAATGAAAATTAAAGGAGGAATTTATTTATTTATTATTTTAGAGACTGGGTCTTGGTCTGTCACCCAGACTGGGGTGCAGTGGTGTGAGCATAGCTCAAGAGATTCTTCTACCTCAGCCCCCCGAGTAGCTGGGACTGCAGGTGTGTGCCACCATGCCTGACTAATTTTTAAATTTTTTGTAGAGACGAGATCTTGTTATGTTGCCCAGGCTGGTCTCAATCTCCTGGACTCAAGTGATCTTCATGCCTTGGCCTCCCAAAGTTCTGGGATTACGGGCATGAGCTGCTGAGCCTGGCCAATTTGTAGCTTGTAAATGCACATGTTCTGAAAATTATGATTAAAATACAATCATAGATTAAAACATGTCAATGAAACTTATGATGAGATATTTCCTTCTAAATTTCTGGTTTCAGTGGCGGCATGATTTTGTGCATGGATGGATAAAAGTACCTGTGACTCATGAAACACAGGAAGAATGTCTTGGGATGGCAGTGTTAGATATGATGAGAATAGCCAAAGAAAATGATCAAACCCCACTGGCCATCTATAATTCTATCAGGTAATTTTCTTTTGCAAATCCTTACACATAAGTGTGAGTAGAGATTTTATATAATTCCTATATATTTTCTGTGTTTACCCATGCCTTTTGATTTTGTAATACTGGTTAAGTACCCCTTATCTAAAATGCTTGGAATCAGAAATGTTTCAGATTTTGGATATTTCCAGATTTTGGAATATTGGCATTGAACTTAACAGTTGAGCAACACTAATCCAAAATGCTCTAATGAGCATTTCCTTTGAACATCATGTTGACATTCAAAAAGTTCTGGGTTTTGGAACATTTCAGATTTCAGATACTTGCAAGAGGGATAGTCAACCTGTAATAAAAAATCATACGGGTAAGTTTCATATCTTGGGAGTAACACATACTTTGTAAGGTGAAATTATTGAAAGAGTTGTATTACAGGAAATATCATAGGTATTAAATATCTATTATTTGATTTCATTTATTCTGAGAAGGCTAGGTAAGTTCAGAGGAATGGAAGAAACACCTGGAGGCATACTTTTTGATAGTAGATCCTCTAGCTGGCTATATAAATGACCTGAATAAGTATTTCCCAAATGGTAGTGTATTATTTTATTTGCATTAGAATCACATGGGGGTGTCTGTTAAAATCAAAGATTTCTGGGTCCTAATCGAAGAGATTTGGATTCAGTAAATCCGAGTTGAAGCCCACAAATGTGAATTTTTACAGGTGCTCTAGGGTATTCTTATACAAGTGATCCAAACTCTGCATTCTTCAAATTATTCTTCTGCATATTGAACTTGACAATCATGGCTAATAACAGTTTTCTGAAACTCTACAGGCTATAAAACTACTTTTTAAAAAGGTATATATAAGAATGGTTTGACTTTTAAGTTTGAAGGCTAAATATGTATTTTATATATTACATACTTTACCAGATTAAAAATTTGAGTATGTCATGAATGTGCTTAAAGCTTCCTTTTTTGAAATTGTTCTCCCAATAACTGGCTTTAGTCATTTCTTTGCCCTGTCATCAAAACAGTTACATACCCAATTTGCAGAGTATCAATTTCTGTATTTCTCTCTTTGGTTTTAAATATTCTTGTTTTACTTTCAGATGTCTATTTGGCCTTAACTCAACGGTGTAAGCCATAGGGTATAATTTTAGGAACTCAGGAATCTAAAAGATTCCAAAGCCCAAAGGAAAAAAAAAAAACACATTCATTCATTCATTTGGTAGCTATTTATTGAATACTTGCTGTATGCCAGGTTATAGTAGAACATAGTCGCAGGAAGAGTATCTTAGATGTCGTTACATAGAAACCAAAGGAATTGAGGGGAACACAGTTGAAGAACAGAAGCTTTGACCCATTGAAGATGAATGTTATAAATATGAAGCCATCTCTAGAATATTTCTGCTTTGGAAACCATGATGTCATCCAAAGTCTCAGCACAATCTTTCTATGTAGATTGTAGTTTCTTCCAGGTCGAGAATCATGTCATCTATTACTCTTCTCCCTACATTATTTAGTCTAGTGTTCTAAACCTGATGACTATTTAGTAACTGTATTTATCTGATTCTTTTAACTCATGCTCTTAGCCATGCAAAATGCTGCATCATTCTTTTTTACTGCTTTACTTTAAAAATAGTGTAGATATTAAACACTTATATAAGATTCTGTGATATTTTAAGAGTTTATTGAGATAATTTACAAATCATAAATCTCACCCATTTAAAGTGTACAATTTAATATTTTGTATTATATTCACAGGGTTGTATAAAGATTTCCACAATCTAATTTTAGAACATTTTCATTCTTTCTGAAAGAAACCCCATGCCCATTAGCATTCAGTCCTCATCCCACTTTCCCCTAGCCTCTGGAAATCACTTTATGTTTGTGTGGATTTTCCTGTCTCAAACATTTCATATAAATAGAATCATGCAAAATGTGGTGTGGCATTTTTTTGTCTGACTTCTTTCACTTAGTATGATATTTCCAAGGTTCATTCATGTTGTAGAATGTATCAGTACTTCATTTCTTTTTATTGCTGAATCATATTTCATTATATAGATATACCACATTTTGCTTATTTGGTCTTCACTTTATGAAAATGTGGGCTGCTTCCATGTTTTGGCTATTGTGACTAATGCGGCTATGAACAGCTGTATATGAGTAATTTTGTGGATGTATTTTTTCATTTTTTCTTGTACATACATTTAGGAGTGGAATTCCTGGAACATATGGTAACTCTAACTTTTTGAGGAACTGCTTAACTTTTCAAAAGCAGCTGTGCCACATTACATTCACACTAGCAGTACATGAAGAGTTCCAACTTTTTCAGCACTTGTTTCTGTCTGTCTTTATTTTATCCATCCTAGTGGGTGGAAGAGCTGTCTCATTCTAGTTTTGATGTTCATTTCTCTGATGACTACTGATGTTTGGCATCTTTTCATGTACTTTTTGGCCATTTGTATGCCTTCATTAGCGAAGCGTCTATTTGAATTCCTTGCTCATTTTTTAATTGGGTTAGTTGTCTTTTAATTGTTGAGTTAAAAAAATTCTTTTTATATTCTGAATACAAGTCTCCACATATAATCATATTTATGATTTGCCACTATTTCCTCCCATTCTGTATATTGTTGTTTTACTTTCCTGAAGGTATCATTTGTAGCACAAAAGTTTTAATTTTGAAGCAGTCTAATTTGCCAGATTTTTCTTTTGTGTCTTGTGCCATGTGGAAATGTGGTTTTAGCAACATGGGTATCTTTCTTGGTTTTAGCAAGAGCAGTTTCTCTTGAAATAATGGAACAGAGCCAAATTGGAATGAGTTGAGGGATAAATGGAAGGCAAGAAAATGGAAATGGCTATGTACATTCTTTCAAAAAGAGGCCAGATAGGCTGTGGCTAGAGGGAAATGTGGGATTAAGAGGTTTTACATTTTAGATGGGAAGGACATTAATTTGGCAAGTCCTTTGTATCTGTGGATTCCACATCTAATATGTCATAGAATGAGGTCCAGAAAGGTTTCCTGGATTTGATGATGCTTGAGCTGAGCCTTGTAGAATGGGTAACTAGATAGGAGATGGATGATTGGAAGAAAGATTAGCATATATTAAGGCATGGAAAATTATTTATTGGTACTTTAGAAATAAAATGTTCCTTAGAAGCAGAGAAATAACCTTCTTTAGAATATTGCACAGAGATGAATGTACAGAAAAGTCAGAACATTTCTAAATGGAATTGTTTTGATCACAAAGGAATTATTAGGAGTTGAAGCTGGCCTAACAAAATAATATACAGAAGTATGTTTCCATAATGAAAATAGCTTCCAACAGAATGTAACAATTTCCAAAATTCAGGTAAATTTTGGAGCACAGCATCATAGGAAATATTTGTAGCACAGTTCAATATGTGCCAAAATATTATCTTATCAACCATTAACTCTGGTATATGAAATAAAGAACAGGAATTTTTAGAGACTCTTACTAACTAGACTGAGGATTCATTTCATTAGGGGAAGAAGATTAACATCTTCTTTTGTAAACATTGATGATAACTTCAGTGTGTGGATATATTTGTATCATCAAACAAAATCTTAAAGTTTTATACTGTATGGATGGGGGTTATGGCAACTTACTCCACTTGGCCACTGTGTTGTAATGCCTACTTAACCATGGAAAAGGGTGGTAACTTCTTTTTCAATTTTTAGATTTATCTTCTAATTTTTGTTTTGTTTTTCTGTATGTGCTTTTTTATCTGCAGCTACAAGACATTCTTACCAAAATGTATTCGAGCAAAGATCCAAGACTATCATATTTTGACAAGGAAGCGAATAAGGTACAGATTTCGCAGATTTATTCAGCAGTTCAGCCAATGCAAAGCCACTGCCAGAAACTTGAAACTTAAGTATCTTATAAATCTGGAAACCCTGCAGTCTGCCTTCTACACAGAGAAATTTGAAGTAAAAGAACCTGGAAGTGGTCCTTCAGGTGAGGAGATTTTTGCAACCATTATAATAACTGGAAACGGTGGAATTCAGTGGTCAAGAGGGAAACATAAAGAAAGTGAGACACTGACAGAACAGGTAATCCTTAATGATATGTTCTTGTTCTTTGTTATTTTAAGTAGAATGGAAATAAAAACAAAGTAATTTTAATCATTTGCAACATGGTCTTGCACTTCTCCCATTTGATAGAAGTGGAAGTTTTTAATAGTGTGAAGCTATCAAGGTCATATAATTCTTTGCCTGCTATTCTTAAATGGTTTTTTCATTTAATTTTTTATGACAAAATAATTAGCAATGACTATATTACAGTTTCAGAAAGGTATCCAATTCTAATAGTGATTTTAAAGGAGTTTTGCCTTTCTTTCACTATTAATGATAACAGAAGGCATAATTATAAAACTCGTTAACTAGAAAAGATTAATATTAATTGATTTTATGATAATATATACCTGCTAAATAATTAATTAATTTTTTTTAGGTTTGCATTGCAAGTTTTAAATTTATTAGTATCCATGTTGTTCACAGATTGTTACTAGAGATTTAGAGGGATGATTTTTTAATTTTTCATCTTTGGTAGTCTCATTTCCAGTCTTCTGGCAGTGGTTTCTACTAATGTTAATTGAATTGAAGAGTGCCATAGCACATTTTAGATTCCTGGCATCATTTAATGCTCTCATTTTTAAGTCAAACAAGATACAGCATAGTCTTAGGGTTAGATTGATAGAGGAAATCATATTTAATGCTTATCTGTTGTTATCAATACCTTTTTTATTTTAAAGAATTTGGAATGAATGTTGTCTTCTTCATAAGTCTTGTTTTAAAATGGCTCCATAAATTCTACGTTTTTAATTTTACATGCTTTTAAATTATAGGATTTACAGTTATATTGCGATTTTCCTAATATTATTGATGTCAGTATTAAGCAAGCAAACCAAGAGGGTTCAGATGAAAGCCGAGTTGTAACTATCCATAAGCAAGATGGTAAAAATCTGGTAAGTTTGCTTTATGGTTGAATAATGGTTTCATTTTATAATTCTCAGAAATATGTATTTTAGAATCTTAGTACCAAAATTATTTTCTGGTAGGAATTTTGATTGTAGTTTTAAATATAACTCTAAACATAAACATCAGTTCAGTAAACTTTTTGATAACATCTAGCTTTTTGTATTACTATCAACACCATCTTCCTACAGAGTTTCTTGTACATTACCGTACTTTTTTTACTCATTTTTATGATTAGCAAAGCACCAGTTACTTTCTCCCCTATCTGTACTCTAGATTATACTAGTTTTCTGATGTAACGCTCACTCCTGACTAAAATATTTTATCAATAGGGATGTATATGTGCCAGTTATATTGCCTAATTAAAGGAGAAAAATAAAACAATGATGTCTGGAACTTATATAACAAAATGTAAATCAATCCCAGGTCAGCCCCACCCAAGCTATAAGACATAGTTGATTCTAAAAGATTAACCCTTTCTCTTTTTTAAATAGCTTCAGAAATCGAATTTATTTTAATATAAATGGAAGAAATGAATTATTTTATACTTTGCTCTTAAGTTTCTCATTTATCTGCTCTGTCTTCTTTTTAACTCAGATGCTTCTTGACACTTCCTGGCTTAAACTAGTCCTATTAATGTTATTTGTCCATTTATCTTAAGTATTTATATGGCTTACCTGTCTGGCTGTTCCAGGGTTATATTACCAAAATTATAACTAATTTGCAACTCACTTAATTCAGCATAGTTTTCTGTTCTTAGAGAAAAATATGATAGTACATCTACTGCGTAGTAGACTGTGAGCCTTTTGAAGGTAAGGATCATATTTTTATGTGTGTTTGTACCCCCTACACCTTGCACAGTGTACTCAGGGCCTAGTTTAGAAAAAGCTTGATAAATATTTTATGGATGCATGAAAGGATGATTAATTATCAACCTCAATGTGGATCTATAATAAATGTTTCTGGGAGAGTTTATTGATCTTAATGTGAACAAACTGTAGTAACCTAAAGAACTTCTCTATGGGACTGTATTTGGACTTGGCTTAATTTTAAGTCTGCAATACAGTGAAGTTAAGTAACTTTCCAAGGGCACGGTGTTGGTTAAGTGGTAGGGCTATTTAAACTCAAATGCATGATTTGAAAACCTAAGCTCTTAAGTGTGACACTAACTTCTTTGCTGAGTATCTGTAAAGCTCCTTAAAAATATTACACTGACATGTTTTTGGAATTGTGCAACAAATTGGGAAGAGCTGACATTTCTGTCTCATATTAAATTTTCTGTTTTAGGGATATATTGTATTTCTCCTTATACCCAAGTATTGTTTTATGTTTTTCAGTAATTCTTGATCATTTTATTCATATTGACACATCATGTTCTTTTTATTTTATTCATATGTTATGCTTTTTCTGTTGTTTATTAAGATTAATACTTTTTCTCTGTGTATTTTCCTACCAAATTATTTTTGGATATAGGAAAATAATTTTTGCTTATTGCATTTTCCCAGTGTATTATGTGTTAGTAACATTTTGTTTTTACTATCGTTTTCCTCTTCATTCTAGCATTTATTTCTTTTTATAATTTTTGGTAAAATATACATAATGTAAAATTTAGCATCTTAACTATTTTTAAGTGTACAGTTTAGTAGTGTTAAGTATTTTCACATGGTTGTGCATCCGATTTCCAGAACTCTTTTATCTTGCAAAATTGAAGTCTATACCCATTAAAGAAAAACTCACCATTTCCCCCTCTTCCCAGTCCTTGCAACCACCATTCTACTTTCTTTATTTTCTTTGAGGTGGAGTCTCACCCTGTCATCCAGGCTGGAACATTGCGATCTTGGCTCACTGCAACCTGTGCCTCCTGGGTTCAGGCAATTCTCCTGCCTCAGCCTCCCGGGTAGTTGGGATTACAGGTGCATGCCACCATGCCTGGCTAATTTTTTTTTATCTTTAGTAGAGACGGGGTTTCACCATGTTGGCCAGGCTGGTCTTGAACTCCTGACCTCATGATCTGCCCACCTCAGCCTCCCAAAGTGCTGGAATTACAGGCGTGAGCCACTGTGCCCAGGCCCTCTACTTTCTTATTCTATGTATTTGACGACTCTAGATACCTCATAAAAGCAGGATCAAACAATACTGTCTTTTTGTGACAGGCTTATTTCACTTAGTATAATATACTCAAGGTTCATTTGTATTACAGTATGTATCAGAATTTCCTTCATTTTTAATATATACATGTATTCTGTGTCATGTATACACCACACTTGTTTATTCATTCATCCATCAGTGAATATTCAGGTCGCTTTTTTACTTTTTGACAATTGTGAGTAATGCCGCTGTGAACATGGGTGTACAAATATCTCTTCAAGAGTTTGCTTTCAATTCCTTTGGATATATACCTTCTACTAGTCCGTTCTCATACTGCTATAAAGATACTACCTGAGACTGGATAATTTATTTAAAAAGAGGGTTTAATTGACTCAGTTCTGCATAGCTGGCCCAGGAAACTTAAAATCATGGCAGAAGGTGAAGGGGAAGGAAGGCATGTCTTACATGGCAGCAGAAGAGAGACAGTGCGCAGGGGAAAGTGCCACTTTAAAATCAGCAGATCTCATGAGAACTCCCTCACTATCATGAGAACAGCATGGGGGAAACCATCCCCATGATTCAATCACCTCCCACCATGTGCCTCCCTTGCCGCATGGGGATTACAATTCGAGATGAGAGATGGGTGGGGATGCAGAACCAAACCATGTCATACCTAGAAGTAGAATTGCTGGATCATATGGTAATTCTACTTGTAATTTTTTAGGGAACCATCACGCTGTTTTCCACAGCAGCTGCACCATTTTACATTCCTACCAGGAGTACATTCTCCACATGCTCATAAAAACTTGTTATCTTCTGTTTTCTGATAGTAGCCGTCTGATGGGTGTGAAGTAGTATCTCATTGCGATTTTGATTCACATTTCCCTAATGATTAGTGTTACTGAGCATCTTTTAATATATGTATTGCCATTTGTGTATCTTCTTTGAAGAAATATATATTCAAGTCCTTTGCTCATTTTTTTAATCAGGTTTTTTGGCCGAATTATGGAAATTATTTGTGTATTCTGGATATTAATCCCTTTTCAAATATATGATTTGCAAATATTTTCTCCCATTCCATAGATTGCTTTTCACTATGTTGCTTGTGTCCTTTGATGCACAGTAGTTTTGTAGTTTTAGCTAGTTCAACTTTTGTTGCCTATTTTTCTTTTTACTTTTTATTGAGCTATAACATGAACACAGTAAAGCACGCTAATCTTACGTGTATAGCTCAATGAATTTTTACATATTTGTACATCTTTGTAGCCATACCCACCTCAAAGAACAGAATACTTCTCTTACTTCCAGAAGGTTTCCACATGCATCTTCCCACTTATTCACCTCCACCCCTAACTTGAGGTACCTATCATCTACCATCACTTAGTTTTATCTGTTAACAAAGGTTGTATAAATGGAATGATACTGTATATTTTCTTTTAAAATCTAGATTCTTTTACTTAGTATAATGTTTGAAGATTCATTTATGTTGTTACATGTGTCAGTTCACTCCTTTTTATTGCTGGGTAGTACTGAATTGTTTGACTATATCTCAAATTTTAAATTTATTCTGTTGATGGACATTTGGGTTGCTTTCAGTTTGGGGCTTTTAGGGATAAATTTACTATGAAAATTCTTTTACATATTTTTTGGTGGACTCATGCACTCATTTTTTTGTGTATATATACCTAGAGATGGGATTATTGAGTCATAGTGATAGCTTTAGTATACTGCCAAACAATTTTTTGTACTTCTGTCAGTTCACTCTTCCTTCAATAATGCATGATAATTACAGTTGTCTCATATCCCCATCAACTCTTAATTTTGTCAGTCTAAAAATGTCTTGTGTGTCTGGTGGATGTGTACTGGTAGCTCATTGTAGTTTTTATTTTCATTGCCCTGATGAGTAATGATGTTGAGTACTTTTTCACTTACTTATTGTTCATCTGAATATCCTTCTTACAAAGTGCCTGTGACAGTCTTTTGCACATTTTTCATTGGCTTGTCCCTTTCTGATCAATTTGTAGAGTCTCTATAGATTCTAAGTCTTTTGTAGGATGTTTGCAAAATGTATATAGGCATATGTCAGATATTGCTAGTTCAGTTCCGGACCATTGCCATAAAGCAAATATTGCAATGAAGTGAGTTGCATAAATTTTTTGGTTTCTCAGTCATATAAAAGTTACGTTTACACTATAATCAAGTCTACTAAGTGTGCAACTGCATTATGTCTTAAAAATTAATTTAAAACACTTGATTGCTAAAAAATCCTAATGATAATCTGAGCCTCCAGAGAGTTATAATCTTTCTGCTTGTGAGGGTATTACTTTGATGTTGATGGCGCTGACCGATCAGGGTGGTGGTTGCTTAAGGTTGGGTTGGCTGAAGCAATTTCTTAAGATAACGACAACATTTACTGCATCAATAGACTCTCCATTTCGTTAAAGATGTCTCTGTTGCATGTGACATTGTTTGGTAACATTTCACCCACTGTTGAATTTCTTTCAAAATGAGTCAGTCCTCTCAAACCCTGCCACTGCTTTATCTACTAAACTTTATTCTAAATCCTTTGCTGTCTTTTCAACAACATTCACGGCATCTTCACCAGGACTAGATCCATCTCAAGAAACCATTCTTTTAATGCTCATGCATAAGAAGCAACTTATCTGTCCAAATTTTATCATAAGATTGTAGCAATTCAGTCACATCTTCAGCTCTACTTCTAATTCTAGTTCTCTTGCTATTTCTACCACATCCTAGTGACTTCCTCCATTGAAGTCTTGAACCCCTCAAAGTCATCCATGAGGGTTGGAATCAACTTCTTCCAAATTCCTGATAATGTTAACACTTTGACCTTCTTCCATGAATCACTAGTATTCTTCCTGGCATCAAGAATGGTGAATCCTTTCCATAAGTTTTTCTATTTACCCAGCTCCATCAGAGGAATCACTATCTATGGCAGCTTAGCCTTACAAAATGTATTTCTTAGATAATAAGACTTGAAAGTTGAAATTACTCCTTGATCCATGGGCTGCAGAACGGATGTTGTGTCACCAGGCATGAAAATAATATGAATATCCTTGTACATCTCCATCAGAGTGCTTGGGTGACCAGGTGCATTGTCAATGAGCAGTAATACTTTGAAAGCAATCTTTTTTTCTGAGCAGATCTCAACAATGGGCTTAAAATAGTCAGTAAACCATGCTATAAACAGACGTGCTGTCATCCAGGCTTTATTGTTCCATTTATAGAGCACAGGCAGAGTAGACTTAGCATAATTTGTAGAGCCCTGGGATTTCTGGAATGGTAAATGAGCACTGGTTTGAATTTCAAGTCACCAGTGCCATTAGCCCTTAGCAAGAGGGTCAGCCTGTCCTTTGAAGCTTTGAAGGCAAGCACTGACTTCTCTCCTCTCTAGCTGTGGAAGTCCTAGATGGCATATTCTTCCAACAGAAGGCTGTTTTGTTTACATTTGAAAATCTGTTTGTTAGTATCACCATCTTCATCAATGGTCCTTGCTAGATCTTCTGGATAACTTTCTGTAGCTTCCACATCAGCATTTTCTGCTTCAGCTTGCACTTATGCTGTGGACATGGCTTCTTTTCTTAAACCTCATGAACCAACCTCTTGTAGCTTCCAGCTTTTCTTCTGCAGCTTCCTCACCTCTCTCAGCCTTCACAGAACTGAAGATCAGTAAGGTCTTGCTGTAGATTGGGCTTTGGCTTAAGGGAATGTTGTGGCTGGTTTGATCTTCTATCTAGAACTTTCTCTGTATCATCAATAAGGCTGTTCACTTTCTTGTAATTTATGTGCTCACAGTAGTAGCACTTTAATTTCCTTCAAAGACTTTTCCTTTGGATTCATAACTTGCCTTTTTAGTGCAAGAGGCCTAGCTTTCAGCCTGTCTTGGCTTTCAGCATGCCTTCCTCACTAAGCTTAATCATTTCTAGCTTTTGATTTAAAGTGAGAAATGGGTGAATCTTGCTTTCACTTGAATACTTAGAGGTCACTGTAGGATTATTAATTGGCCTAATTTCATTATTGTTGTATCTGAGGGAATAGGGAGGCCTGAGGAGAGGGAAAAAGAAAGGGAAATAGCTATTCAATGGAGCAATCAGAACATATAGAAATTTATCACTTAAGTTCATCATCTTATATAGGCCCAGTGTGTGGTGCCCCAAAACAATTACAGTTGACCTTTGGACATCACAGGTTTGAACTGTGTGGGTCCACTTATATGCAATTTTTTCAGTCAAACATTGATGGAAAATATAGTATTCACAGGATGCGAAACTTGCATATATGTAGGGCTGACATTTTGCATATATGAGTTCTGCAGGGCTGATTTCAGGACTTGAATATGTTCAGATTTTGGTATATGCAGGGGTCCTGTAACTAATTCCCCTTGTATTCTGAGGGACAACTGTACAATAGTTACATCAAAGGTCATTGATCACAAATAACCATAACAGGTATAATAATAACAAAGTTTAAATTTTGTGAAAATTACCAAAACGTGACACATAGACAGGAAGTAAGCATATGCTATTGGAAAAATTGCACTGATAGACTTGTACTTGCTTCACATAAGTTTGTCAGAAACCTTCAATTTGTAAAAAAAAAAAAAAAGTCATATCTGCAAGGAGCAATAAAGGGAAGTGTAGTAAACAAAATGTGCCTGTATATCAATAAGAGGGATACCAGTTAGTGAACTGCTAGTTCAAAGGGTATCACTATTTACAACTTTGATAGATTATTAAAATACTTCTCAAAAGGTGTTTCCAATGTATCTGTATGCCTCTTTTCTTGTACCCTTTGCCAACATTGGATGTTATCAATCTTTTAATTTTTCTGCCAAATCAATGGGTAAATAATGCTCTCCTGTTATATTTCATTTCCTTAATTAGAACCTGAGATTGAGCAATACCTCATGTGTTTATAGGTCAGCTTTAATATTTATTCTTCTGTGGACTGCCTTTTCACATCCTTTGACTAGTTTTCTTTTTTTATTTTTAATTGTTTTATAGGTTTTATTCCCACAATGTATGTTAGGTATATTCCTTTGTTGTACATGTTTGTAACCTCCAAGTCTTTTAATTTTGTTTAGAATATCTTTTATAATACCTGTTTTTTTTTTTTTTTTTTTTTTTGAGATGAAGTCTCGCTCTGTCATCCAGGCTGGAGTGCTGTGGTGCGATCTTGGCTCACTGCAAGCTCCACCTCCCGGGTTCACGTCATTCTCCTGCCTCAGCCTCCCGAGTAGCTGGGACTACAGGTGACCACACCCAGCTAATTTTGTATTTTTAGTAGAGACAGGGTTTCTGCATGTTGGTCAGGGTGGTAGCAAACTCCCACCCTCAGGTGATCCACCCGCCTCGGCCTCCCAAAGTACTGGGATTATAGGCGTGAGGCACCACGCCTGGCCGCTAAATACCTTTTATCGTTCAAACATGTCATACGCTTTTCTCTTTATTATAATTTTTGATTTAGGACTCTATTCTGTATTCTTTTATGATTATGTAAATATTGTTCATGGCTGGGCCAAGAAATATGCTGTAATCACATTTTCATTCTTATATAACTTTTTCCAGGAGTTAATTATTGCTTTATGATTTTTCCTTTGTATCTAGCTTTATTTTCATTTTCTACAAGAACTCTGTAAAGTAGTGGACTTCTCAATACAAAATTTCACATCATCAAACCTGTCACATATGATAGTGTTTTTACTTCTTTTCTGGAGAAGTACCTCTTCGATCACAGTGTCTTACTTTATAGTGTGGACTGGAAGCTCTCTAGGTACAGCTATTATTTTGTACAGCTGTAATTTTTGGTCATTCCTTTCTCATCCTGGTAACTGTGTTTTCATCTCTCTTATATTGGATCTGATTTTCTGAATCTCATGTTTGCCCTGTTTTTCTAGGTACAGCTTCTGGTATCTGTTGGTATTTTTAATGTGATTGAGACAAATTAGAAAATTAATTTAGAGAGGAATTTTACATTTTTCTCATATTGGATTTTCCTACCAAGAACATGCTTAATCTTCTGTATATTTAAATAAAAAGTTGTATAAGAGTGTTTTGAAGTTTTTGTTAATTATTGATATTGCATCCTTTTTGTTACAAATGGGGCTTTTTTCTTTATATAACTGACTTTTTGCATGTAAAAATATAAATATTTTTATATATGTACATATATTTTCGCATTTAAGTAACATGCTGCATTTTAGGCCGATTATATGTTCACATATGTATTAAGATACAATCAGGCCGGGCATGGTGACTCACGCCTGTAATCCCAGCACTTTGGGAGGCCAAGGCGGGTGGATCATGAGGTCAGGAGTTTGAGACTAGCCTGGACAACATGTTGGAACCCTGTCTCTGCTAAAAATACAAAAATTAGCTGGGCGTCTTGGCGTGTGCCTGTAATCCCAGCATCTTGGGGGGCTGAGACAGGAGAATTGCTTGAACCCTGGAGGCAGAAGTTGCAGTGAGCCGAGATTGCGCCATTGCACGCCAGCCTGGGCGACGGAGCAAGACTCTGATGGGGAGGCGGGGGGCGGGGGGACAAAAAAAATCATAGCATAGCTACATTTCCTAACATTTTAGTTTGTAGCATGAATACTTTAACTTTAGTAGTATATAATTGGTATGTAGTCTGTGGCTCACGCCTGTAATCCCAACACTTTGGGAGACCGAGGTGGGTGGATCACTTGAGGTCAGGAGTTGGGAGACCAGCCTGGCCAACATGGCGAGAACCTGTGTTTACTAGAAATACAAAAATTAGCTGGGCATGGTGGCACACGCCTGTAATCCCAGCTACTCATGAGGGTTAGGTGGGAGGATCGCTTGAGCCTGGGAGGTGGAGGTTGCAGTAAGCCAAGATTGTGCCAGTGCACTTCAGCCTGGGCGATGGAGCAAGACCCTCAAAAATACCGCATGTTCTCACTCATCGGTGGGAATTGAACAATGAGCAATTGAACATCGGTGGGAATTGAACACTTGGACACAGGAAGGGAATCATCACACACCGGGTCCTATTGTGTGTGGTGGGGGAGGGATAGCATTAGGAGATATACCTAATGTAAATGACGAGTTAATGGGTGCAGCACACCAACATGGCACGTGTACATATGTAACAAACCTGCACGTTGTGCACATGTACCCTAGAACTTAAAGTATAAAAAAAAAAAAAAAAAAAAAAAAAAGAAATGCTCATGATTTCTAATGTCAACTTTTATATTGTATTAAATAGATTTCTAGCTGAGATAACTGGTATATTAGTCTAAGAAGGACATTGGAAAATAAAGTAAAACGATGGATATAGAATGAACTATAACTGGGAAGGTATGATAATCTGTATTTAGGAGGATCTTAAATATCAGACATAAGAATTTGTAATTCATATTGAGTACTGAGCCATAAAAGACATGTGAGCAATTTAGAAGAAAATGTATTTAGGTGAATTACTCTAAAAACGTGGAATGAAAAAATTTTTCAATATTTAACATGGAGTTGACTTTCTAAAACGTGCTGTTTCTTTTTCTTTTCTCTGCTTAGGAAATTGAACTTAGCTCATTAAGGGAAGCTTTGTCTTTCGTGTCATTAATTGATGGATATTATAGATTAACTGCAGATGCACATCATTACCTCTGTAAAGAAGTAGCACCTCCAACAGTGCTTGAAAATATACAAAGCAACTGTCATGGCCCAATTTCGTGAGTAATATAGACTTAAAAGTAAATTTTTAGAAAAGTAAATGATATATTTACAAAGAAGATTTAACAGAGTGATACATGTATGTTTAGGAAAAAACATTAATTTGACAAGTTTTTTTAAACAAAAGGCTATTTGCAATCAGATTACATAATAATTAGAATTATTTAGCATATAATTTACCATCTGTATCCCAATCTATAATATTTATAACTTGTACAAATTTAACATTTGTTAATCATGCCTATGTGTGATTCGCTCCTGAATGTTAGTAAAAAAGACCTCCAATTTATGTGTTATTAATTTTAAAATACTGTAAGGAAGCCACAGTACAAAATTTGAAAATGCTTTATTTTTGGATAGTCCATCTCCTACTGAAAGGTTCAAACACAAGATGTATATGATGTCCACATTTCTAGACTAGTGCTATGTAGAACTTTCTGCAGTGATGAAAATATTCTGTATCTGTGCTGTGTAACACAGTAGCCACTAGCTACATGTGGCTGTTTAGCATTTGAGATGTGGCTAGTGCAACCGAGGAACTGAATTTTAATTTCTTTACATTTAAATAGCTACATGTGGCTAGTAACTATCATATTGGCTCACATGTTTGTAGATCCTTATTTTAATACTGGGTAAAGCCAGCTATCATGCATAACATGCATAACATCTATTTAGCTTACGTCCTAATGATCTCTTAGGTGGGATGTGGTTTATATTGACAACAGATTTGAATAACTTGAGCAAAGGGAAAATCTGGGATCGTGAGCATACTGTGTTCTTTGCATTTAACCTACCCCTAAGTATTTGAGAAAATACATCTTGGGTAATATAAAGACTTGATTTAGTCTATGCTTAATATTTTTTTAGTAATGAATATGGTTGCTATGAAAAAGTTGTACTACTTGAACTTCGTCTGTAATTTACATGTTAAATATTTTTAAAACTCCTTGCCTTTATTCATGTATCCATAAATTCATTCAAACATTCTTTTATTTATATTTACTGAGTAACTACTATGTGCAAGCATTGGTTTATATATTAGAAATATGGTGATAAGTGAAACACAATGATTCTTGCTTTTGTATAGATTAGATTTTGCTTTTCTTTCAAGGTGCGCAGCTTCAGAAAACAGAAAATTTTAAAAATCAGTTGTCTTTGTCAGTTGCCATGGTTCTTCTCTTAGACTTTGTTATCATACCAAATAATAAAATCATGCATTCAGATTTCTGTGTCAGTAACTGCTATTGTAGAAGAGATATAAATATTTTCTGACATATTATCTTTATGGTTAAATGAAGTTTTCAGAGAATATGATTTTAAAAATATTAACTTTGTAATCAGCAGGCAGAAAAATCAAATGAACAAATTGTTCTTTGTGATTTTGTCTTATAATACCTTTTATTGGTTTTTAAAGCTATATAATTGTCCCTTGAAATGGTTTGAACTTATGCAAAATAGCTTGGTACTCTGATTTTTTCCTTTGAAGGATTATTGCTAAACATATAAAGTAGAGGAGACAGTTCTGACAGTTTTAGATTTGACTTTTGATTTTTTGAGATGACACTTGGTCATAATGTTATGGTGCTTGCTATATTATCATTCAAATTGCTTCTTCTTTACCTTTAGGATGGATTTTGCCATTAGTAAACTGAAGAAAGCAGGTAATCAGACTGGACTGTATGTACTTCGATGCAGTCCTAAGGACTTTAATAAATATTTTCTGACTTTTGCTGTCGAGGTTAGTATGTCACACTTATTAATAGTAACACTTTAGTTCATTTAATTTCCTCTGCATATTATTTACCATATTTCCTTTTTAATACTCAGAATTATAGCTATATATAGGATATAACTAGTATAATGCTTAATTTCCTCAGAGATTCTGTACAAATAAATAAGATATAATTCCCAGGGTTTATATAAAAATATAAAATAATTTATGTCTATGTTTTTATTTTGCATTTATTTTATTTTCTGATGTTTTGGTGTTACCAGTGTGTCAAAAGGTATTTCATCAAGTGTCTTGATGTTTCTTTTTTTTTTTTTGCAAAACTGGAAATCCCTGCCACATGATGTAGAACAAAATAAATTGGAAGCAAATTTTCTGTTTATTAACAGTGGTTATAGAATTACAGGAAACAGAATTAGAGAAAAATAGGGCAATAACAAAGAAACAGACACATTAAAGCACTTTTAACTGGTGATTTTCTAACATTAAGAATAGTGGTCTACAATGCATGTTTTAAAGGTAAAACCCCACTGTTAATACAGATCATCTTGGATCTCATCTGTGATTATTTACTATCACTTATGAGGCAATTTCATAGTATAAATCCTAAGAACCTTTATAGAAGCTTCCAAATTTATCTTGATTTTTAAAAATAGAGAAAATAAGAATTTTGTTATTCAATTATTTTAATTTTTATAAAATGCAACTTATATTTGGCATATGTAGAGGGTAGATTACAGAAAGTAGGTTACACCATCACTTCACCTTTGTGTAAAACTGGTAATCTATCCTAATTTCAAAGTATCCTCTTACTATAACAGATAATAGTACATTATATTCAAGTATCAATTCAAAAACTATATATATATATTTTATGTTCACTGTATGTGCCAATCCTAATATGAGAGCTATATATTAGAGAGTTTATGCTACAGCCCTACCTTCAAGAAACTTATCTACTGGACAAACAAAAATTTTCAAGTATACAAAAAATTCTAAATCGAACATGTAATTATCTAGCATAGGCAAATATAGACAGTAACAGACAGGTTTACAATTATTAAGAAAGGTTGGCTGGGTGTGTTGGCTCACGCCTGTAATCCCAGCACTTTGGGAGGCCAAGGCGGGTGGATCACGAGGTCAAGAGATCGAGACCATCCTGGCCAACGTGGTGAAATGGTGAAACCCTGTCTCTACTAAAATTATAAAAATTAGCTGGGCATGGTGGTGCACACCTGTAGTCCCAGCTACTCGGGAGGCTGAGGCAGGAGAATCGCTTGAACCCGGGAGGCAGAGGTTGCAGTGAGCCAAAATTGTCCCACTGCATTCCAGCCTGGCAACAGAGTGAGACACTGTCTCAGAAAAAAAAAACAAAAACAAGAAAGGTCATTTGGCATAGGAAGAACTTGATTGACCTTGAGGTATTGGTAGATTTTATATAAATGTTTCTGAGTAGAATGAATATGTTTATAAAATGCACCTTAAAAAAAATAGATGAACAAGTTCATAATATAGTGCATAAGACAAATATTTAAAAACTGCAAAATATTAAAAATGTCATATTAAAGATAATTATACAAATACAATGGTGGTGCAGTGGAATGTCTGAATGTTCACCTTTGCTTGTGCAATGAGGTGAGCATGAGAGAGGACCTCTTAGAAAAAGTGGTACTTGAACTGAGTTTTGATGAATGAATAAAGAAAGGTTCACTGCTCAGAAGAAGTGGGTATACATTCTTAGGTAGAGAGATAGCATGAAGAATTATCAAGGCATGAAGCAGCATGGCATTTGCTTGAAATGATTTAAGTCATTTAATGTGGCTGGAACATAGGTTGTATGTTGGCAGTGGCAGGAGCTGAGATTGGAGATGGAGGCAGAAACCAGCTCATGGAAGGCTCTATATGCTACATTTGTTTTAGGCTTTATCTTACAAATGATGGGAAGCTATTAAGGATGGTATTACTATTGCTATTAATTATCATTGCCTTCTTCCATACGTTTTCATAAAATCAACTTTTAAACCACTTTTATAGGCTGAGAAATTGTAAATTGCCCTTTTGAGGAACTGAGTACTTCTATTACTATACTGGCACTACATTGGATTCTTGGTTCAAATGTTTATTCTGTTGCTTGTTCTTGTGATATCATTTTGTCAGAATAATCACTATGATGTCCATTGTGAGTATCCCTCCCTTTCTTTATAATTAAACTTATACAGCGAGAAAATGTCATTGAATATAAACACTGTTTGATTACAAAAAATGAGAATGAAGAGTACAACCTCAGTGGGACAAAGAAGAACTTCAGCAGTCTTAAAGATCTTTTGAATTGTTACCAGATGGAAACCGTTCGCTCAGACAATATAATTTTCCAGTTTACTAAGTGCTGTCCCCCAAAGCCAAAAGGTAAGATAATTTTCTAGTTATTTTTAAATTACTGGTCATGGATTGTGTATGTGGTGTGAAGTATCTTTAGTACATTGATTTCAAAGGATATATGAAAGAAGCAGCTCTAAAAGTTAATTTTATCTTATTCTGTTGTACAAGCATCATCAAATAAGATTGTTTACTTTGGTTTTGGTGGTCTAGAAGTGACTTGAAGTTCAATTATTCTAAAATGAGATTTTAAACATAATTTTGTGGTATGATGTCATTTATTGAACTAGTAAGATCTCACTACTAAATTCTCATGTTGTTTTAAGTAAAAATTTTCATATACTTTGAGGATTTTAATTGCTGTATTTTAAAAATAAAGATAGTAAAGTTGGAAATTCCTTGAAATAATGAGCCTTACTATTAAAAATTATTAAAATTTCTGAAAAATTGTATGAGTTAAGGAAGTTACTATAATTTTGAATTAATGAAATAACTGGCAGGAATACATCAAAATTCAAATTACATTAGTTAAGAAAGTAATTATAATTTTGAATATATGAAGTAACTAAGAATAATACATCAAAGTTCAATGAGTTAACCCCTAAAATAATTTTCTATTATAAAAAAGAACAATGAGGAGTTATTAAGCATTTCTTATATATAGAACACATTTCATTTTACTCCTCCTTGGCGCAATTCATATTTTCAGTGTATTTTGATGTGATATATATGTATTTTATTTTTTCAGATAAATCAAACCTTCTAGTCTTCAGAACGAATGGTGTTTCTGATGTACCAACCTCACCAACATTACAGAGGCCTACTCATATGAACCAAATGGTGTTTCACAAAATCAGAAATGAAGATTTGATATTTGTAAGTCATTAGATACTGATTACTGTCTTTTTTGTCCTTTTAAAACAACATGTTTTCTTGATTTACATTCATGTGTCATTTGGAATTATTTTGTTATAACATATACAAATTTAGTTGTGATTTAAGTATTTTTCCTTTGAAAGATATACCAACCTTGTGTTAGATGTTAGCAAAATTAATTATCTTAATTATCCTAAGAATGGAATCTTAATTTTCTTTTTGGAAATTTAAAAATGATTCTTCACAAAAATTAAAAATTAAAAATATACAAAGACCTATATTGTTACTCTCAAGTTCTCAAGAAAATAAGGGAAATTCAAGGGGTTAAAAATAAAGAAGAAACTGAGACAAAAATCCAGCCATCTCTCAGTGTCCATGAGGGATTGGTTCCAGGACTACCCATGGATACCAAAATGTGAGGATACTTAAGTGGAACCTGTGGGTATGAAAAGTTGGCCCTCCATATACACGGGTTTTACTTCCTATGAACACTGTATTTCTTTTAAAAAGTAACTAGTAATTATTTTTAAAAATTATTTATTTTTTAGAGGAGGACTTGCTCTGTCACCCAGGCTGGAGTGCAGAAATACTATATTTTCCATCTGAGTTTCCTTGCAGATGCAGAACCTGCCTTGCCAGTACAGAGGTCCCACTGGATTTACTGAAAAAATATCCACACATAAATGGACCTGTGCAGTCCAAACCCATGCTGTTCAAGAGTCAACTGTAGTACATAAGATCTGATAATTTGGCTGCCAGGTGGTGAGACTGGTGATCAGCCACATTTATCAAGGGGGTTAAGACTTAAAAGCAATTTAAAAGGGCCAGGTCTCAGACCTGCACAAGGCAAGGAGTTAAAAGTGAGACTATCCCTGAATAAAACTAGGACCCTTAAGTAAATACATCCTCAGTAAAACAATATATAGAATGTGAAAAATTCACCCACTGGCAAGCAGAGAAGAAAAGGAATTTTGTCATTTTTAATTGGGTTTCTAGTGAGGAAAAGCAGTCTCTCCTAAGAATTTGTCATCACAAGCTTTTGAATTTGGGTTTCATTATACTACCTACATAGACTGAGAAACTCTAAATTAAAAGTGGTCCTCTCCTAATATTGTGTGGTGCTTAGAAGAAACAAAAAAATCTTTTTGGAACCACATACTCTTAACCTAGGCAACCCATGATTCCCACAGATAAAACCGTTCCAAACATGAGCTTTTAATAGAAAATTTAGAAACATACAAGGAAATAATGCAGGATTAAGTAAGAGTCAGTAGACCAACAAACATCAAAATTAGAACTCCAGGAACTTCCTATCACAGAATTTTCAGATACAGACTATAAAATACATATACATGTTTAAAGATAGAAAAGGAATTGAAACCATGGAGAAATAAGACATTGTTTTAACAAACAAAAAAGATTTCAGGAAAACATAGAAATGATAAATATCGTCACTGACATTAAAACAGAATATACAGGATGAAAAGGAAATTACTTATAGCTGAAGAGAGATGTGAACTGCAAGATAGATCTGAAGAAATTATTAAGAATGTAGGGGTTAGGGAGAAAGAAATGGGGTTATATGAAAGAGGGATTAAGGGGCGTTAGGCAGAATGAGAAAGAACAACTGATATCTGAGCTCTTTAAGGAGACAAGTCCTCATGTGAATAACAGGAAACAGAGTGACCAGGTAACTTGACTAACATTACAAAACTAATAAATAGTAGACCTTGGATTTGAACACAAGCAGCGTTACTTCAGAGTGCAGGCTTTCAACAATTACTTTGTAAAGATATGCAAGAAATACTAGTATTAGTAGTAATAGCTAATACTTAATGCACATTTACTATGTGTCATGGACTGTACTAAGGGCTTTTTGTATTTATTCACTTATTGTTTATAACAATCCTATGGGAAAATAGTTACTTTTCTCATTTTTCAGATGAAGAAACCAAGACAGCTGCAGCACAGAGATTAAATAGCCTGTATAAGATCATAAAAGTGGTAATAAGAAAAAGTCAGATATTCTGCCTCTGCAGACCACATTCTCTATTGTACTAGTAGGAAAGGCAAACAAAATGATTCTCATGTAAGCAAATGTAGGTAAACACTGACTCTGTTTTTAAAAAGTGATAATTATAGCCCATTCAGGAGATTTCAAAACCAAGTAGAGCCAAAATACACTTAATTCATTAATCCTTGTTTTCTGTCTCTCATTACTATTTGAGGAAGCAGAATAAAAGAATTAATTTGGAGTCTCAAATCTGGATTTAGACTCTAAGGAAAATACTTGCTTATGGATTAAAAAAAAATTCTTCCTCATTGAACGTATTTTCTTGTTCCTACTTTGTTCTCCATCTTGACTCATTCTTTACTTTTACCTTTTTCTCTTGAAGAATGAAAGCCTTGGTCAAGGCACTTTTACAAAGATTTTTAAAGGCATACGAAGAGAAGTAGGAGACTATGGTCAACTTCATGAAACAGAAGTTCTTTTAAAAGTTCTGGATAAAGCACATAGAAACTATTCAGAGGTGTGTATGTTCTTTAGTTCATGTAGTGTATGCTGTTTAAAGATGTACTCTCATATTCATACAACATACTCATGTGTGCAGCTTTTCAAAATTGTAAGTTTTAAATGTATCAAGGACTTCTCTGAGGATATGTTCTTGTGGGGCTATAGAATTACAGGGTTTGAAAATTACAGGATTACAAAAAATTCCAAACTAATTATGTTTAGCATGTTAGGAGTGTTATTACATTTCTGCATATACTGTGGCCATGATTTTCAAACTTGGCTCCCCAGAGCTTTATGGGTTACACAGAGGTTCCTCTACAATTTCATTTATTAAAAAAAAAAAAAAAGTTTCAAAGGCACTGTACTAAGGAACATACTTAGTGAAATCTGGATGCCTCTGGGCATCATCCAGAGATGCTAGCTGGCAGACCCTGTGGCCAGTTGCCAGAGCTCCGAACACAGCAAGATATGATACTTACAATATCTTAAAGGGTGTTAGTGGAAGATGATGTGAAAAGTTCAAGCCAAAGAGTTGTTCTAATCCAGCACACCACAGTATTGGTGATCGTGATTCACTAAACAGTCATACCCAGTGGTTCTAGTCAATGTCTAGTGGAATTGGAGTGATGTTAAAACTATGCTAGTGTCCTGACACAGATGTCATGATATTTTATCTGCACATTTTTAATTCTTTAGGAAGTATTATTTAAAGGCTACATCCATCTAACTCAGTTCCCTATATCTATCTCTGATGTCTGCCTCTGGTTGTACATCTGTCCTCTATTTCAGGTGTTAAGCATCAAGCCTGTTTGACTGGCATCATTCATGATTCCTGTACCACTCTTGCTGTCTCTCACTTTGATCTCCATATTCCAGACTTACACAGGGGTTTCCTCAGAACGTTGATGGTAGTTGCAGGTCCATATAAAGGGACCAAAGCACATTGTATCCTTATCTATAGTCATGCTGAGAGTAGGAGAAAGTGCATCTTTATTATGGCAGAGAGAATTTTCTGAACTGAGTACTTATGGACAACAGTCAAACAACAATTCTTTGTACTTTTTGTTTTTCTTTTCCTTAGTCTTTCTTTGAAGCAGCAAGCATGATGAGCAAGCTTTCTCACAAGCATTTGGTTTTAAATTATGGAGTATGTGTCTATGGAGAGGAGAGTAAGTAAAACTACAGGCTTTCTAATGCCTTTCTCAGATCATCTATTTTTGTTTATATAGAAAATTCAGTTTCAGGATCACAGCTAGGTGTCAGTGTAACCCATAATTTAACAGGAATTAAATATTTTTGAAACTGAAAACACTGTAGGACTGTTCAGTTATATCTTGTGAAAAAGGAAACCAATGAATAAAGTTAAAAGTAGAAGGTTACAATGCCCAAACAATAGAGTATTACAGGAAACAAATGTCTATAACATTTTGTGTTCATGATAGCAAAAGAGATTATGGCAGGTTCAACATAACATTGGAATAACTGGCCTTTTCATTACAAACTTCTCTGGAATTATGAAGACAAAGCATATAAATGATACACTTAATTTTTAATGGAACTGACTGAAAATATTGTGTTGATATGATACTAGATATATTTTTTGGTTAAATTTAGGTTGTTCATAGAAACTACTAAAAGTATAAATCATACCCCAAGCTTTAATAGTATACAGGCATGCCTCATTTTATTGCACCTTGCTTTATTGTGCTTCTTAGATACTGTATTTTTTACATATTGAAGGTTTATGGCAACCCAGTGTCTAGCAACTCTGTCGGCAACAGTTTTCCAACAGCATGTGCTCATTTCATGTCTCTGTGTCACATTTTGGTAATTCTGGCAACATTTCAAACTTTAAAAAAAACCATATGGTGATCTGTGATCAGTAATCTTTAATGCTAGTATTGTAATTATTCTGGGGTGCCTCAAACAGAGAGAATATAAGGCAAACTTCATAGATAAATGCAGTGAGTGCTCTGACTGCTCCATCAATGAGCCATTCCTCTGTCTCTCTCCCTCTCCTGGGGCCTCCCTATTCCCCAAGACAACAATATTGAAATTAGGCCATTTAATAATCCCATAATGGTCTTTAAATGTTCAAGTGAAAGGAATATTCACCCATCTCTCACTTTAAATCGAAAGCTAGAAATGAAGCAGCAAATGTTGATGTGGAAGCTGCAGCAAGTTATCCAGAAGATGTAGCAAAGACCACTGATGAAGATGGCTTAGTGAGGAAGGCATACTGAAAGCCAAGACAGGCTGAAAGCTAGGCCTCTTGCACTAAAAAGGCAAGTTATGAATCCAAAGGAAAAGTCCTTGAAGGAAACTGAAAGTGCTACTCCTGTAAGCACATAAATTACAAGAAAGTGAACAGCCTTATTGATGATACAGAGAAAGTTCTAGATAGAAGATCAAACCAGCCACAACATTCCCTTAAGCCAAAGCCCAATCTACAGCAAGACCTTACTGATCTTCAGTTCTATGAAGGCTGAGAGAGGTGAGGAAGCTGCAGAAGAAAAGCTGGAAGCTACAAGAGGTTGGTTCATGAGGTTTAAGAAAAGAAGCCATGTCCACAGCATAAGTGCAAGCTGAAGCAGAAAATACTGATGTGGAAGCTACAGAAAGTTATCCAGAAGATCTAGCAAGGACCATTGATGAAGATGGTGACACTAACAAACAGATTTTCAAATGTAAACAAAACAGCCTTCTGTTGGAAGAATATGCCATCTAGGACTTCCACAGCTAGAGAGGAGAGAAGTCAGTGCTTGCCTTCAAAGCTTCAAAGGACAGGCTGACCCTCTTGCTAAGGGCTAATGGCACTGGTGACTTGAAATTCAAACCAGTGCTCATTTACCATTCCAGAAATCCCAGGGCTCTACAAATTATGCTAAGTCTACTCTGCCTGTGCTCTATAAATGGAACAATAAAGCCTGGATGACAGCACGTCTGTTTATAGCATGGTTTACTGACTATTTTAAGCCCATTGTTGAGATCTGCTCAGAAAAAAAGATTGCTTTCAAAGTATTACTGCTCATTGACAATGCACCTGGTCACCCAAGCACTCTGATGGAGATGTACAAGAATATTCATATTATTTTCATGCCTGGTGACACAACATCCGTTCTGCAGCCCATAGATCAAGGAGGAATTTCAACTTTCAAGTCTTATTATCTAAGAAATACATTTTGTAAGGCTAAGCTGCCATAGATAGTGATTCCTCTGGTGGATCTGGGTAAAGTAAGTAGAAAAACTTATGGAAAGGATTCACCATTCTAGATGCCAGGAATAGCATTCATGGTTCATGGAAAGAAATCAAAATGGTAACATTAATAGGAATTTGGAAAAGTTCATTCTAACCCTCCTGGATGACTTTGAGGGATATGGTACTTTAATGAAGGAAGTCACTGCAGAGGTGGTGGAAACAGTAAGAGAACTAAGAAGTGGAGTTTGAAGATGTGACTCAATTGCTACAAACTCATGATTAAACCCTGAAAGAATGAGGCGTTGCTTCTTATGGATAAGCAAAGAAAGTGGTTTCTTAAGATGGAATCTACTCCTAGTGATGATGCTGTGAACATAGTGAAATGATAACAAAAGGCTTGGAATATTACATAAACTTGGTTGATAAAGCAGTGGCAGGGTTTGAGAGGACTTACCCTGTAAAGTTCTACTGTGGGTAGAATGCTATGAAACAGCATTGCATGCTACAGAGAAGTCTTTCATGAAAGGAAGAGTCTGCAGTGAATATCATTGTTGTCTTATTTTAAGAAACTGCTGCAGCCACCTGAACTTTAAGCAGCCACCACCATGATCAGTCAGCAGCCATTAACATCAAAAGGCAAGATCCTCCGTAAGCAAAAAGATTACAACTTTCTGAAGGCTCAGATTATCATTAGCACCTTTTTTGGCAATAAAGTATTTTTTTTAAGTATATTCTTTTTTTTTTTTAAAGATATAATGCTGTTGCACACTAAATAGACTCCATTATAGTGTAAATACAAGTTTTATATGTATTGGGATACCAAGAAATTAATGACTTGCTTTATTATGGTAGTCTAAAACCAAACTGGTAATATCTTCGAGGTATGCCTGTATTTTAGTGCCTCACAAAGTTTACATTCAAGAAAATTGTTTACATAATTCCCTATTTTCCACTAGTAATGCAGATTAAATCCACATCTACACTTGTATAACATTTTTTCATATCTTTGAAAATTGATAGTATTTTCAAAAGCAGTGGTTTGGAACCTGTTATATGGAGGTATCTGAGAGGCTCCTGTGGACCACGAAGGAGTCCAGGATTGTTTTTGGAAGCCAACACTTGTTTTTCTGGCAAAATATGTTTTATATTTTTTTTTTAAAAAGTTTTAAAGATAAAGCAGCGCAAAACATTTTTGTATTTTTTGCAGAATAAATTAAAAGATTAAATGGAGCTAGAACTCAAATTCTCCTTTATGTCTATAATACTATAGACATTGTTAGTAATTTTTGTGTGTAGAAGAACTTCAGGAAGGTTTGAATGTCTAAAATGTTACGTGGATGATAAATTAAGTGAGAAATTTTCATTTTTTTAAAAAAAGACCGCCATAATTCAGTACTAATGTATAAAGGTGTGCTGGTATATTATATATTATACATTTATGTTATATATATATAAAAAAATAACATATAATTGTTTAGACTCCTACTCTTGCTGTTGTAAGTAAACTAAAAACCAAAAATATAATGCTGTGTATCCATTAAGTTTTCTTTGAAGTTTTGAGTTTTGCCTAATTTAATTTCTTTACCTATAATAGTCACATGTAAGTATATGAAGATTTAAATTACATATATTTAATTATATTTATACTTAAGCCTTATTATTACTTATATTTTAATGCAGATATTCTGGTTCAAGAGTTTGTAAAATTTGGATCACTCGATACATACCTGAAAAAGAATAAAAATTGTATAAATATATTATGGAAACTTGAAGTTGCGAAACAGTTGGCATGGGCCATGCATTTTCTAGTAAGTAGTATATCCATTTTATCAAAAAGACACTGTTTTATTTTATAAAACAATATACAAATTATCTTTACCTGGAAACAAAAAATAAATCTGTAATTGGATGCCAATTCATGTAAAACAGTCTGTGTTAGGTGATAAAAGAGATTACTTTAGGCATATGTTTATGTATGTAAAATCACTTTTGAAAAAAAGTTTTGTCATCCCATCAATATCTTAGAACTACTAATAAACAGTCTGTATTTTGTGTCTTTTGGATTTAGAAAATTCAACCAAAAATTATGCAGCAACATGTGCTTCTCTATTTTTGGGCCATTGTATATTATGGTCCATGAGAAAGCAGCGTTGACAGAGAAGAGTACCAGAGGGCCTGCCAGTGATCAGACCCCTCAGGGTGCACCTATGTTCTGCTGCAGAACTGAAGTAGTGTTTCTTAATGTCAGCTCCCATCCAGAAACACAAACCATCTCAGCCTTAGAACTCACGTTAAGTGGCATTGGGTAGTTTTAATTTATTCATGTCATCACAAGCATAGATTATTGTGTTATTTAAAATGTAAAACAGGAAGCATAGTTAGGAGTCATAAATTTCCTTTTTTCTCAATGCATGCCTCCAAATTAATATTTATTATACTATCTTATATATTTTTCTTCTTTAAATCTGTTTTGGGGGCTTGAACTACTAAATGCTCAAATATTTGTGGATTGATATTTGAATATATGTGCGTTTAACTCTAATAGGAAGAAAACACCCTTATTCATGGGAATGTGTGCGCCAAAAATATTCTACTTATCAGAGAAGAAGACAGGAAGACAGGAAATCCTCCTTTCATCAAACTTAGTGATCCTGGCATTAGTATTACAGTTTTGCCAAAGGACAGTAAGTTCTAGAGGGATTATATATAATGTTACTAAACTTTACTTGGGCAGTGGTGTAAAGAGCATGTTGTTAATCTTCCTTGAACTCCATTTAATTCATATGTTCCTGATTAATAATAAAAGTATCTATCACTTTTAGCCATTTAAATTGTTAGTTAACTCTTAGTCTCTATTTTTCTTTCTTATAAGCATATAACTATGGGCTGTGAGGTGATTTTTTAAGAACAGTTTTAATCTCTATATATGAAGGATAGGATTTTATCTATTTTTAATATGAGGTTTTCTAATATTCCTTGAGCCACAAGTAAATTTTCTAAATATTTTTTTCTTCTCATCACTAAATAAAAATTTATCTAGCCTGAGATCTTAGGATTTTTTTCTACCCTCTGTGAAGAAATTAGTTTAATTATCCAGCTAATTCTGACTTTTTAAAACCTTAAAAAACTTTCATTTGTGTTTGTTAATCTTTACTACTTAACACAGTGGGTTAAAAATACAAATTTCAGTCAGATAGTTGAGAGGGGTTTTTTGGGGGGTCTAGATAATTATAAATGAATTTTGTTATCTTAACTAATTTCTCTAATTGGATGTTCCAAATTTAGATTCTAAATTGATCAGTTTAAGCCAATAGTACATAATGACTTATCTGACAGTGAAGACAGTGATAATTGGGCAGTAGTACAAGAGTATGGCACAAAATTCTTACAGAGTCTTACATCTGGTATTCTGGGAAATTTTATCCTTTGGAATCAGAAGTGAAGATGGAAAAAAATGTATTCATATGGTGAATGTATTTTTCAATCAATCTATTTGTCTGTCTATGTCAGAATACTAGAAAGTAGGGTTATATTGCTTCTTCCTTTCTTGAATACAGTCCTTCTGGTGGAATCAAAGACCACAGAAACTTTGCTTGAGAAATTCCATGATTTGAGCAGAGCCCACCTGTATCAATTCCATATACCTAGAATATTTTGGTGTAATTTAGCCATGCCTCAGCTATAAACGCTTGTTGGTCCTTGTTTTTTTTTATCATCTACAAGTGAGAATTGCCAAGGCTATTAAATCAGTAGAACATCTCTGAATGATGTAACATTACCTTATGAAGAAATACCAAAAAGTATCATGGGACAATTTTAGGATAAACTATATTAAAAAAAAAAGATTTGGCCAGGCGCAGTGGCTCATGCCTGTAATTCCAACCCTTTGGGAGACTGATTGCTTTATCACTTAAGCCCAAGAGGTCAAAGCATAGTGAGCTGCAATTGTGCCATTGCACTCCAGCCTGGGTGACAGAGTGTCACCCTGTCTCAAAAAAAAAATTTTTTTTTTTGAAGGTAAAACTAATGAAAAATGGTATGCCAGTTGAGACACTACGGTTTAATGGAAAGATTAATTGATTCAGAACTCACTGTACAGGATTCTAATTCTGTCTCTGCTGCTAACAAATTGTGTGGCTTCGGGCAGATTACTTAATCATGTGTCTCCATGTTGTCATCGTTGAAGATGAGATATTGAACTAGATGACCTTGAAGGTCCCTTCTGGCTCTTAAGCTTATGCAGTCATGTGCACTTACACATCCACCCCCTCCAAAATACAGAAAATAGACCTGATTATTCAAATGATTTGAACTTTAAAGCTATTTACACATAAAAGATTGGTTTACTTGTGAATTATTTAACCCTACTCTGTTCTTATCATTTAAAAGTTCTTCAGGAGAGAATACCATGGGTACCACCTGAATGCATTGAAAATCCTAAAAATTTAAATTTGGCAACAGACAAATGGAGTTTTGGTACCACTTTGTGGGAAATCTGCAGTGGAGGAGATAAACCTCTAAGTGCCCTGGATTCTCAAAGAGTAAGTTTATATATAGACTAAGTTAGAATTACTCTATCTCTGAACTTTCATATGACTTTCACATGATTTGTATTTTTTAGCCCATCTAATTTTTAAAAGAAGGTTGGTGTGGCATTACACAATTTATTCTCTTTGTGGTTCTTTAATTATAGAAGCTGCAATTTTATGAAGATAGGCACCAGCTTCCTGCACCAAAGTGGGCAGAATTAGCAAACCTTATAAATAATTGTATGGATTATGAACCCGATTTCAGGCCTTCTTTCAGAGCCATCATACGAGATCTTAACAGTTTGTTTACTCCAGGTATGTATTTATGGAGTGATCTTATTGATTTTCCAGCTTTCTATCTTTATTGTATTTAATGAATCATTACTAATTTTTAATTCCTTTAAAACATTTTCTTGATGTCATTTAGGCCCTCTTAATTTCTTATGTTCATATGGCTTTTCATGCTTTATACATATTCTAATCTCCTTGAGTGAGAATTATTTCCTTTTTTAAAAAAAGACCTTTTCTCTTTCAGTAACCTAATTTTAGTTTTCCATTTAATGAGTTGTAAATTATAGTGTTTTTTTTCCTGCTTAAATTGACTTTAAAAAAATCAATTCTTTTTAACATTTCTCATATTTTATAATTGATTGATTTTCTAAACATGAGCTGTATTTGTTTTGGTTTGTTCTCTCGTTTTTCAAAATACTGAGCTGAAATGCATGTGTTTGACCTATAGGTGCTTTCTACCCTAGTACTACTCACCTTTCTCACAATAAATGTCAGTATATTACCTTACTTTATGAATATGAAAACTACTTATTTTGGAAAACAAATATTTATCCTTTGCAAAGTCTCTCTTGAAAGCCTTTCAGATTATGGGTAATGATTAAAGGCTCCCATTAATATAATCTAAATTATTTGAGTTTCCCTGTATCATTTAGTATTTGTAACTCATGATTATTTTGGCCAACTTGAATGTATATCAGTTTAGTCCAGAGAATTTTATTTGCTAACTTAAGGTGGTAATATTCTTTATTTCTCCAGATTATGAACTATTAACAGAAAATGACATGTTACCAAATATGAGGATAGGTGCCCTAGGGTTTTCTGGTGCCTTTGAAGACAGGGATCCTACACAGTTTGAAGAGAGACATTTGAAATTTCTACAGCAACTCGGCAAGGTAAATTGTCAGAAGTTTTTCAAATAGAGTATAATCCTTTCATTTAGGAAAAACTTAGAGTGTTTCTAAAGTTCACTTTCTACAACATTTTAAAGAGTGCTTGTAGAAAAAAAAAGGTTTGGTTGTCAGATGTTGGAGAAATGCTGTGTTAAATAAACAGCTATCTTTACTGAATGAAAGGGGCCAGCCCCTCCACACCTGTGAGTAATTCTCATCAGGTGGGATGAGAGACTGAGAAAAGAAATAAGAGACAAATTACACAGAAAGAAAAGTGGGCCGGGGGGACCAGCACTCAGCATATGGACGACCCGCACCGGCAGCGGTCTCTGAGTTTCCTCAGTATTTATTAATTACTATTTTCACTATCTCAGCAAGAGGAATGTGGCAGGAGAGCAGGGTGATAGTGGGGAGAAGGTCAGCAAGAAAACGTGAGCAAAGGAATCTGTGTCACAAGTAAGTTCAAGGGAAGGTACTATGCCTGGATGTGCACGTAGGCCAGATTTACGCTTCTCTCCACCCAGACATCTCAGTGGAGTAAAGAATAATAAAGCAGTATTGCTGCCAACATGTCTCGCCTCCCGCCACAGGGTGGTTTTTCTCCTATCTCAGAATTGAACAAATGTACAATCGAGTTTTATACATTCAGTTCCCAGGGGCAGGCAGGAGACAGTGGCCTTCCTCTGTCTAACTGCAAGAGGCCTTCCTCTTTTACTAATCCTCCTCAGCACAGACCCTTCAGGGGTGTCAGGCTGGGGAATGGTCAGGTCTTTCCCATCCCATGAGGCCATATTTCAGACTGTCACATAGGGAGAAACCTTGGACAATACCCAGCTTTCCAGGGCAGAGGTCCCTGCGGCTTTCCGCAGTGCATTGTGCCCCTGGTTTATCGAGACTGGAGAATAGCGATGACTTTTACCAAGCATGCTGCCTGTAAACATTTTGTTAACAAGGCACATCCTGCACAGCCCTAGCCTTAAACCTTGATTCCATACAACACATGTTTTTGTGAGCTTAAGGTTGGGGCAAAGTTACAGATTAACAGCATCTCAGGGCAAAGCAATTGTTCAGGGTACAGGTCAAAATGGAGTTTCTTGTGTCTTCCTTTTCTACATAGACAGTAACACTCTGATCTCTCTTTTCCCTACAACTGAAGAACTTTTCAGAGGCTTTAACATGTAATGTGCATGGAACATCTTCAAGAGGATGATGAATTAGGCAGTATTACTCAAATTGACTTGACCAAGAGACTGTTTCTTGGTAGCAGGAGTTCATTGTAAGTGATTCAGTGAAATAGAGAAAGGAATACATAAGCTTTTCTACCTGCCTTTCTGCCTTTAGTCATCTCAGGGAGAATTAATCTTATTGCTTAGGGTCTAGGATTTTGACTGTGCCCTATTCACTAGCAGAGGCTCTGTCTATTAAAAGGTCATACAGTCATGTATAACCTACATATTTTAAGTAAGATACCAGGGAATGCTCAGTTCTTAGTAGGTCCAACCATAGCGGTAAGCTCTCTCTTTTTCACATAAGCTTGCTAGGATAAGGTTCTCACTAGTAAGTACCATATTAATGTTGTCTGTTATTATCAGCTATTCCTAAATTCATATTTTCCTGACATATCTCCAGATGTCATTGATTTTCCTCTTTTCTGGGAACTTACAGCATTTATTGTTTCTTCTATACAACTTAATCACATAGTCTTTTGTTGTTTATTAGATCTTGGTTTTTGTTTGCGTGCCTTTTTTTTCCTTGACTTAAAAAAAGTTCCTTTAGATCCCAACAGATTACTAGGCACACAATTTTGTCATATATTGTCAAAACAATGGAATACATACTGGTATTTAAGAAGTAGACATAACAAAGAATACATCAAAAGATCACTAATTTAGATTAACAAAAGGGAAACAGCAGACTAAATTATAAAGTTATCTTTTCAAGTAATTTTTTCTAGTTATGAAAGTGATATAGATACTGCTTTTAGAGAAATTGGAAGATATTACGATGAAGAAACATTCCATTTGTTGTAGTCTCTGAACAACTACACAATTTCTTTCAATAGTGAAACCATTCTATATATACAATTCTATACTTGCTATTTTTCATATATCAAGATTTTCCCATTAATATTCTTTTGAGACATAATTTTAAAAGTGAATACACCATAATTTATTTACAACATTCCCCATTATTGTAATTTTGAGTTAATTTTCTTTTGCTTTTTAACATTTTTCTGTGAGCTTAAAATTCTTTTAAACATAAGTAAATTTCTAAGGAAGGCATTTTCAAAATATATGTACAATGAAATATATTTCTTAGTAATTTAGTTTGTAGAAAATGAAAGGAAAATGGTGTAATCATTAGTCAGTCATAGATATTTTAATCTGGATATTTCCTATCTGCACTTAACATCATAATTTTACTTTCATCTTTTGTTTGTTTGAAGTAATTGATGTGTTCCATGGTTTGTCTAGCTATTTGTATTGCCTTATTGAAGCCATTCCTACAAAAATGATTGCATGTCACCTTTTCATTTTATAAAAATTAGCTACTGTATCCCTTTAAGTTATCCTTTGCAATTAGTGGTATGGTGAAAATATTCCAAAGAGGGATGTATATTTAAAATTATTTTCATATTTTTTAAGCCAAGAGAAATAATGGTATATATTTTTTATTTTTAAAAAAATATTTTCATACTGTTTGTAAAAGGAGCCAAGAAACTATTGTGAAATCTTTTCTTTTGCTACTTGAAATCTGGATTGTTTTTGCTTTCTTCCTTTATCCTCATGCTTATATTCTATTTTTTTAAATTTTAACATGGATTATTTATTTGTTTAATAGCCTTACATGTGGATGTTAACAGTGTAAACAGTACCACATATAACCATCAAGATACCTCAATTAGAATTTATAGGACTAGAATGACAGATTCAGATGGTTTAATTACATTTTAAAAGTTTTCTGAAAAAACTTTTGCAATAAAAAAATAAATTGCCCATCAATAAGTTTGATATCTGTTAAAATGATTTTTGGTTATCTGCAGATGAAGCAAACAAAGTGTATTCTCCAGATTTTTTAGGCACAGTCTGGTGAGATAGCTGCCAGAAAGAGTTGTCATTTATCTCTTGTGAGGACAATTTCTGAAAGTTGAATGAGGGTATCTCTTTCTGGGGATGGTCAAAGTTTACTGATCTCTCTTACTGCTTCACGGCAGTACTGCTGGGTGAGGTAGGTTGTTTGTTGCACACCATCACTCTGTAATACATACTGTGGAGCTCTGTCTGTATCTCCCGGCAAACTGAACCATCTCATGATCATAGCATTCATTTCTGGGAACTGCTGACAGGCAAACCCGACAGGACCAGTGGCTAACCCGAGATTCAGATCAGCTGATGTTGGTTTACCCATGTTAGAACATGAGGTGAAGTCCAGTACATCATCTATTAGCTGAAAAGCTATTCCTACATTTTCTTCGGTACTGATAGGAGATCTCATGCGCCACTGGGTCCGGGCATCCTAGAACAAAGACTGCTTTACAACTGTTGGCTATCAGGCTTGCAGTCGTCTTGAAGGTCTTTTCAAGGTAGTGTGCAAATCTTTCATCCTCATTTTCTTTTGACCCAAGCTGAAGAAATTCACCACACACCAAATCTTCAATAACTTGGGTTAAAATAGATATAACAGTTGTATTTCCAATTTGTGCCAGAGCTATAGATACTACAGAAAGAATTAAATCTCCAGCAAGAACAGCCTTCTTTTCACCTCAGATCTTACTGTGTGTTTTTCTCTTCGAGAACTTGCATCATCAATAACGTCATCGTGAACCAGACTAGCAGTGTGGATCATTTCTGCAATTAAGGCTGTGGCGCGCTGGCTAGCTAGCATATGTCAGAAGTTATTATGATGACTATTACATGCTTGGGCCATTAGCACCATAATAATTGGTCGAAAGGCTTTTCCTTTTACATCAGAGTAGTACTCAGACATTTCCTTAAGTTCTGTTGTTGATACGGGCAGTTCCTTTTTTTTTTTTTTTTTTTGAGAGGGAGTCTCGCTCTGTTGCCCAGGCTGGAGTGTACTGGTCAGATCACAGCTCGCTGCAAGCTCCGCCTCCTGGGTCACGTCATTCTCCTGCCTCAGCCTCCTGAGTAGCTGGGACTACAGGCACCGGCCACCACGCCCGGCTAATTTTTTGTGTTTTCAGTAGGGACGGGGTTTCACCGTGTTAGCCAGGATGGTCTCGATCTCCTGACCTCCTGATCCTCCCGCCTTGGCCTCCCAAAGTGCTGGAATTATAGGCGTGAGCCACGGCGCCCGGCCCTGTGAGCAGTTCCTTTCTGATGTCCTCGTACAGACCTTTCAAGTCTCCCCAACCGAGTTTGAAAGGATCGGTATTTCTCACCACTGTGTGTTTTAGTGTACGGGGTTGTGTGATGAAACCGTGATATACTATATACATTTGGACAGGCCGGTGTTAAATGCGTCACAAGATTAAAATAGGACAAGTCAAGTCCCTTCCGCCTATGAGCCTGCACTAGGCATCGGCAGCGGCAGCCCCGCCAGGCTCGGGGAGCCGGGCCCGGGTCTCCGCGCCGCTGGCCCCAGGAACAGCCCCGCGCTGCCACGCCACCAGCGCCAGGCCATGGTCTGAAAGTCGTGGCAAGACGGCGGCTCCACCTCTGGCCTGCGATCCTCCTCCTGGGACCTGGAGCCTGAAACCTCTTATGTTCTTTATATCCTTTACCTTCTCACTTCACTCCCAGCTGTTTTGACATCCTCTTTATTCCTTTTTCCTCCATGGTGCAGATCTGGGATTCAGAAATCAGGATCTTAGTGTGACTACTTTGAAATTATCAGCATCACTCTTAATCTTCTCTGAATATGATTTTTATTTTCCTCTCTTCCCATCATTAGCTAACATCTTGGCCCACATTCCTTGAATACTTTCAGTACTCATTGTTTTCTGGTCACCTTACTTCCTGCCGTTATTTTGGATGCCCTTCCAATACTTAAAAAAAAAAGATTCCTTGGCTTCTCTACCCCAAACTTGTGATTACACTAAATGAGTTCATTTTGAATTCCATAATCCCCTGTAATAACCTTACTTAGGAAATTTCCTATCCTGAAATCTCCCTGTCTGACTATAACTTTATAGCCTTTGGCTTTTTTCAACATAAATGCCTTATTTTTGATATCTTTGGTATTGCTAGTGTCTTTCACACTTTCTTCTTATTGGAACGTAAATTGGTGACCCTTTCTAGAGAGCTTCTCATAGTGCAGTTTGTATCAAGGGCTTTTAAATGTTCATATCTTTTAAACTACTTTCACTGGTATCTACAATTATATTACCCCCCCTTCCCTTGATTATCTGCTTCACTTTTCCTAGTACGGGAACAATACAACTTAGCATTTTTAAAATTGTGCTTCCATCCCTCAAACACTGTAAGAAAAAAATAAAATATAAATCTTGATTGTTTTCATTGAAAACTGATTTCCAACACTGGTTAGGCACTTAAGACTCTTACTGGTTGTATTAGTCTGTTCTCATGCTGCTAATAAAGACGTACCCGAGACTGGGTAATTTATAAAGGAAAGAGGTTTAATTGACTCACAGTTACCCATGGCTGGGGAGGCCTCAGGAAACTTACAATCATGGCAGAAGGCACCTCTTCACAGGGCAGCAGGAGAGAGAATGAGTGCCAGCAGGGGAAATGCCAGATGCTTACAAAACCATCAAATCTCATGAGAACTCACTCACTATCACCAGAACAGCATGGAGGAAACCACCCCATGATTCAGTTGCCTGCCACCGGGTCCCTCCAATGACATGTGGGGATTATGGGGTTTACAATTCAAAATGAGATATTGGTGAGGACAGTGCCAAACCATATCACTGGTAGTTCTTTTACTCTCCCTTATTTGATTTCTTTTCTGGTCCTATCTCAAACTCTTCTGGTTTTCTATCTTAAATCTTTCTTTTCACTGAATTTTTCTTCATCTCCTTCTTCCATAAGAAAAATAGAGGCATTCCAAGTTAAAAGTGAGACTGATTTTTGCCTATCAAAGTGATAAAGATTTAGAAAAAGTATAATGACCATCGTTGGCAGAGATGTGATGAAATACACATTTTCCCACTGCTTATTGGAACATCAAATGGTAACCACTGCCAGAGAGCTGCTAATGCAGTGTGTATCAAGGCCCTTTGAAATGTTCTTATCTTTTGAACAGCTATTTAAGTATCCTTAATAGAGATGTACACAAATATTTATTTATAAGAATATTATTGCAATGACATGACTGTATTTAAAAAATTTTCTTAGTGTACATTTATGTTTATAATGTTAAAAATTAGTGCATTCATGTGACAATATACAATAATTAAAAATCATTAATTTCAAGGAATATATAGTGGCACTGGAAAATAAATTTTATGAACACATTGTTAAGTAGAGGGAAAGAAGATAAAACTTATTTCCTACTTTTGTTTTCTAAAATATGTTTTGGAATAATTTCTCACAACAGCCTCATGAGATAGACATTTTATTATTCTCTACTTTAAGGAAGAAAAGCCTCATTTTAGGGAGATGTGAATTGTCTATGGTCACAGAGAGAGCAAGTTGTGGATCAATATTCTAGTTCCAATCTGACTTGAGAGTCCTGGGTCTATCCACCTTGTTGTGTGGCCTTCTAAACTGTGTAATTATAGATTTAACTCTGAGCCTACGTGGTCTAGGTTTTTTTAAAAATTGACTTCAAGTATATAAGTGAAAATATAGTCACTTAGAATCTTGTAACTCAAGAACTACATTGTTTTATCCTGTAAGAATGCAATAATATCCAAAATACACTAATTTGATTAATATCAAAAACCTATAATTTATTTAAATGTTATAGCAACTTACCAATTCTATGTAGTTAATGAGTCTTAGGTAAAAGAGTGGATTTCTTTAAAGACATCTTCAAAAAAAAAAAAAATGTAGAGTCATCCCATAGGCTAAAAGTTTCTTACTTCTTAATTTGTTTCGGCTGCTATAACAAAATACCATAGACTGGGTAGCTTAAACATCAGACATTTATTTCTCTCAATTCTAGGGCCTGGAAAGTCTGAGTTCAAAGTTCTGGCAGGGGTTGGTTTCTGGTGAGGTTTCTTCTTGGCTTGCACATGGCCGTCTTCTTGCTGTGTCCTCACATGGGAGAGATTGCTGTAATGTCTCTTCCTCTTATAAGGGCACTAGCCTTGTCACATGAGGGTTCCACCCTTATAACCTAATTTAACTTTTATCACCTCCTCACAAGGCGCTATCTCCAAATACAGTCATAATGGGGTTAAGGCTTATTATATACATTTTGGGTGGGGGTCACAGACATTTAGCCCATAACAGACACATTCCATCCAGATCACTGACAGTGATATCAAAAGTTATTTTGTAAAAAAGGAAAATTCTTCCTGGAAGTTAGTGACAAGAGTTTAGGAATTCCTCAGCATGTCCCTTGGCTTATCTTGATAATTAATGCTTATCATTTATTTAAATGCTTTTTTGAGGTAATTTATATTTCAGCCTGTAATTCCTTTTGAAGAAATTAAATTTATAGGTTTACTATGCACCTGTTGAGATAGTATTTCCTTTTCTTGTTCTAAGAGTTCCTTAATATAAGCTTAAAGATATGTCTGCTAATTCCAGCTACTAGAATTTTCTATATAATTTATTTGTAATTTGCCTTGAAAACTTGATATTTCCATCCTAATGTGATGTGTCATTTAGGGTAATTTTGGGAGTGTGGAGATGTGCCGGTATGACCCTCTACAGGACAACACTGGGGAGGTGGTGGCTGTAAAAAAGCTTCAGCATAGTACAGAAGAGCACCTGAGAGACTTTGAAAGGGAAATTGAAATCCTGAAATCCCTACAGCATGACAACATTGTAAAGTACAAGGGAGTGTGCTACAGTGCTGGTAAGCTGCCCATTGAAACCTATTTGAAATTCAAGATATGTCTTTGGCATCCTGTGTAATAGAAACGTACGGTGTCTAATGATCTGGACTTATGCCAATGCCCAGAGGGACAGGCATTCTATAATGACTGGAGATTGTGTTTGGTGATCATAAACTATAACTATAGGAAGTATTTGGCTAGTTGTTTAAACATTCTTTTCACCTCTTGCTTAAGTTTACCAAGAGAGCATCATTTTTAGAGAAATGGTTTTTGCTTACATTTTCTATAAAAATATTTTTGAATTTTATGTTTTTTGTTTGATATAAATGAGAAAGGAAGTTTTCTCATCAGTTTATTTTGGTTTGCCTAAAGAGTTATAGAAAACTGAAACGCAAGTAGTTTCAAAGCTTTTATTCAAAATTTATTTTCGTTATTTATTCAAGTTTTTTATTCAAAAAGATTATGTTCTTAACAACTATATCACCTTTAATGTATAATAAAGTTTTGTCATCTTAGATTTTATATATGTTTTAAGTCATTTATGTATGATAGTTTTCTAATATTTAATCAGTATAATATGGCAGAGTAAAATATTGTTTCCACCTTTATGTTAAAAGGTCGGCGTAATCTAAAATTAATTATGGAATATTTACCATATGGAAGTTTACGAGACTATCTTCAAAAACATAAAGAACGGATAGATCACAAAAAACTTCTGCAGTACACATCTCAGATATGCAAGGTACCTAATATCCTGATTATTTGCTGTAGATGAAGCAACCATATTGAAGTAAATGTTAAGAAATCATCTAGACTTTTTCATAGATAATAAAGGGAATATATAGGGTTAAGACCATTTAAATTGTTTATGTTTATAAAACTAGCTGAAAGAAACATGTTTTATCCATAGGGTATGGAGTATCTTGGTACAAAAAGGTATATCCACAGGGATCTGGCAACAAGAAATATATTGGTGGAGAATGAGAACAGAGTTAAAATTGGAGATTTTGGGTTAACCAAAGTGTTGCCACAAGACAAAGAATACTATAAAGTAAAAGAACCTGGTGAAAGTCCCATATTCTGGTGAGTATATTTCAGTATGATAAATGAAATTTTACAGCACAGACTTCAAACTTTATTGTTGTTATTTAATAGTTTGCCATTTCTGTATTTACAGTAACAGTGAACATTTAGGTCTTTTAAGTCTTACATTTAACCTTTTTGTTTTAGGTCTTATAGTCATGGTTATAGTCCACATGGGAATAATGGCATGTGCTTTATTTTTATTAAGTATTTTCTTGTTTATAGGGATTGTAGGTTTTTCTTCAAAACCGTCTCCTATTTATGGAGGCTTAGGGCTAATTATTAGTGGTGCTGTGGGTTGTGGTATTGTGTTGAATTTTGGTGGGGCTTTCATAGGGTTAATAGTCTTTCTGATTTACTTGGGTGGTATAATGGTTGTTTTTGGTTATACTCTGGTGATAGCTATTGAGGAGTATCCTGAAACATGAAGGTCAAGTACTGATATTTGAGAGGCTTTATTATTAGGATTATTAATAGAGTTGATGTTGGTTTGGTGAATAGTTGAATATGATGGGGTGGTGATCACAGTTGATTTTAATAGCGTAGGGAGTTGATTAATTTTTGAGGGGGAGGGGTTGATTCATGAGGATTTTGTAGGTGCGGCTGCCTTGTATAGTTATGGGTGTTGGTTAGTGGTGGTTGCTGGTTGATCATTGTTAGTATTTTTGTTGCAATTGAAATTACTCAGGGTAATAGATTAGATAATTAATAGTAGAGGTTAGGCCTTTTTGGGCAGATACAGTAACAGAGGCTGAAGTTTGGGTTTGTGAAATGGTTTTTGGTATAGACTTTTCTAGTCAAACTGGGTCTAGAAGTGAAGCTAGATTTTGGCTTCTGAAGGTTGAATGGTGAATTGTAGCTGAATAAAAACCTAGTATATTGGAGAAGTTAAATGTCTATAATGGGTACTTTAAGGTTGTTAGTTATGAAATTAAGCTCCATTGCTAGTAAGAGACCTAGGGTGGTTACACCTAGGGCTGTGAGCTTTAGGTGGAGTGGTATATCTGTTTGGGGGACGAAGTAGGAATAATACTGTTAGTGATGAGGAATCTGGCGAAGATACTGCCGATTGCTAGGTGCTTAATTGAGTTAATTAGGTGCTCTAATAGGATAACCTTGTTTTACAACTCTGATTGTTATTAATGATAATAATCCCCTAAGGTTATAAAGTAAGCACAAGTAAATACATAAAAACGTTAGGTCAAGGTGTAGCTCCTGAGGTGGCAAGAAATGGGCTACATTTTCTACCCCAGAAAATTTCATGACAACCTTTATGAAATCTAAGAGCTCAAGGAGGATTTAGCAGTAAACCAAGAGTAGAGTGCTTGGTTGAATAAGGCCATGAAGCACGCACACACCACCCGTCACCCTCCTCAAATATCATTCTAGAAATATTTAAATTCTCTACGCATGAATAGAGGAGATAAGTCATAATATGGTAAGTGTACTGGAAAGTGCACTTGGACAAACCAAAGTCTTGTTTAACCTAAAGCATCCAGCTTACACCTGGAAGATTTCATCACAACCTGATCACTTTGAGCCAACCCTAGCCCCACTAAAAATATTATTAAACCATCCTAAACCATTAACCTTAGACAAAAATATAGGCAATAGAAATTCTTATCTTGGCACAATAGATACAGTACCGTAAGGGAAAGATGAAAGAACTGAGCCAAGCATTAAAAAGCAAAGACAAGCCCTTATACCTTCTGCATAAAGTATTAAGTAGAAATAACTTTACACAGAGAACCATAGCCAAGTCCCCCAAAACTAAACGAGCTACACAAGAATGGCTGAAAGAGCATACTCACCTATGTGGCAAAATAGTGGGAAGATTCATGAGTAGCAGTGCTAAGCCTACCCAGCCTGGTGATAGCTGGTTGTCCAGATAGAATCTTAGTTCAACTTTAAATTTACCCACAGAATTACTTAATCTCCCTGTAAGTTTAACTGTTAATCTAAAGAGGGACAGCTCTTTAGATCCTAGGAATCAACCTTCCTACAGAGAGTACAAAATAATATCTCCATAGTTGGCCCAAAAGCAGCCAACAATTAAGAAAGCGTTCAAACTCAACATCCGTTATTTAATAGAAGCAATAATGTTAATATAAATAACATGAAAATATTCTCCACTGCATAAGCTTACATCAGACCGGAATAACCCACTGACAGTTAACAGCCAAATATTTTACAATAAGCACCCTATTATTTATACTGTTAATCCCACACAGGCATGCTCTAAGGAAAGATTACAATAAGTAAAAGGAACTCAGCAAATCTAACCCTGCCTGTTTACCAAAAACATCACCTCTAGCATTATCAGTATTAGAGGCACTGCTTGCCCAGTGACATATGTTTAACGGTACCTTGACCATGCAAAGATAGCATAATCACTTGTTCCCTAAATAGGGACTTACCAAATGGCCACATGAGGGTTCAGCTATCTCTTACTTTTAATCAGTGAAATTGACCTACTGGTGAAGAGGCAGTTACAAGCAAATAAGACGAGAAGACCCCATGGAGCTTTAATTAATTAATGCAAATAAAAACTCAAAAAGCCTACAGGCCTTAACCTACTATCTCTGCATTAAAAATTTTGGTTGGGGTGACCTCATAGCATATTCAACCTCCGAACAACCTAAACTAAGACCGCACTAGTTCAAGCGAGTTAATACACATTGACCTAATAATTTGATCAACAGCACAAGTTACCCTAGGGATAACAGTGCAATCCTATTCTATCATATCGATAACAGGATGTCCTGATCCAACATCGAGGTCGTAAACCCTAATGGTGTAGCCACTATTAAAGGTTTGTTTATTCAACGATTGAAGTCCTACATGATCTATTTCAGACCAGAGTAATCCAGGTCGGTTTCTATCTATTTAACATTTCTCCTAGTATGAAAGGACAAGAGAAACAGGGCCAACTTCATAAAGCACCCTCCCCCCATAAATGATGCTATCTCAATCTAGGAAATCACCACATACCCCACCCAAGAACAGGGTTTCTTAAGATGGCAAAGCCTGGCAATAGCATAAAACGTAAAACTTTACAATCAAAGGTTCAACTCATCTTCTTAACAATATGCCTATAATTAACCTTCTCCTATTTATTATTCCCACTCTAATCGCTATAGCATTCCTCTCACTTACTGAGTGAAAAATCTTAGGCTATATACAGTTATGCAAAGGACCTAATACTGTAGGCCCCTATGGACTGCTTCAACCATTTGCTGACCCAGTAAAACTTTTCAGTGAACCCTTACGACCCTCAACGTTTTCTATTACGCTTTATATCATTGCCCTAACCCTGGCCCTTTCTATTGCCCTCCTCTTCTGGACTCCCCTACCTATACCCGATCCCCTAATTAATTTTAATATAGGCCACCTATTTATTCTAGCCACATCAAGCCTAGCCGTCTATTCCATTCTATGATCAGGATGAGCATCCAATTCAAATTACATACTAATTGGTACATTACAATGTGGCCCAGACAATTTCATATGAAGTCACCCTAGCCATTATCCTGCTATCAGTACTACTACTAAGTGGCTCATTCAACTTATATGCACTCATCACAACACAAGAATTACTCTGACTGCTCCTACCATCATGACCCTTAGCCATAATATGATTTATTTCCACACAAGCAAAAACTAACCGAACCCCTTTTGATTTGACAGAGAGAGAATTAGAATTAGTTTCAGGCTTCAGTGTCGAATATGCTGCAAGTTCATTTGCCCTCTTCTTTATAGCAGAATATATGAATATTATCGTAATAAATGCCCTACTACATTTTTCTAGGAGCATTACACACTATGTATTCACCAGAACTAGATACCATAAATTTCATTACCAAGACCCTCCTTTTAATTGCCCAGTTTTTATGAATCCGAACAGCATACCTCCAATTCCGCTACAACCAACTTGTATACCTTTTATGAAAAAATTTCCAACCACTTACATTAGCATTCTGCATATGATATGTCTCAATGCCTGTCCTAATTTCCAGCATTCCACCCCAAACATAGGAAATAAGTCTGACAAAAGAATTACTTTGATAGAGTAAACAATAGAGGTTAAAATCCTCTTATTTCTAGAACTATAGGAATTGAACCCATCCCTGAGACTCCAAAATTCTCCGTGCTATGTATTAAACCATATCCTAAAGTAAGTTCAGCTAAATAAGCTATTGGGCCCATACCCCTGAAAATGTTGGTTATACCCTTCCCATACTAATTAATCCATTAGCTCAACTTATTATCTCCCTTACTGTTTTCACAGGAACCCTTATCACAATGCTAATGATTTCTTACCTGAACAGGCCTAGGAATAAATATACTAGTTCTTACCCCAATCTTGATTAAAAAAATAAATCTCCCCTCTACAGAAGCAGCCACCAAATATTTTCTTACACAAGCAACTGCATCTATAATTCTCATTATAGGTATCCATTTCAATAACCTGTCCTCCGGGCAATGGACAATAATAAACACTATTAATCAGTTTTCATCCTTAATAATAACAGCCCTAGTAATAAAACTAGGAAAAGCCCTCTTTCACTTCTGAGTCCCAGAAGTAACCCAAGGAACTTCTCTAATGTCTGGCACACTTCTCCTCACGTGACAAAAACTAGCCCCTATCTTGATTATATTTCAAATTTTCCCATCAATAAACACAACCAGTCTCCTATCTATTACAATACTATCCATTATAGTAAGTGGTTAAGGAGGAGTTAATCAAACACAATTCTGCAAAATCTTGGCCTACTCCTCAAGTACTCATATAGGTTGAATGACCCCAGTACTAACTTATAATCCAAACATTACCATTATAAATATGATTTATTTACCTTATTTTAACAATTACCACATTTCTAGCACTTAGCCTAAGTATAAGCACTACAACCCTGTCACTGTCTCACACTTGAAACAAATTAACATGATTAACACCTATAGTTTCACTAATTCTGCTATCCCTAGGAGGTTTACCTTCA